AAGTCTTTATTGGTTTCTTTAAAAAAAATTTTTTTTTAATTGAAGTATAGTTGACTTAAATGTTGTGTTAGTTTCTGGTATACAGCAAAGTGATTCAGTTATACATATATATACATACATATGTTCTTTTCAGATTCTTTTCCATTATAGTTTATTACAAGATCCTGAATATAGTTCCCTGTGTTATACACTAGGACCTTGTTGTCTATTTTATATATAGTAGTTTGTATCTGCTAATCCCAAACTCCTAATTTATCCCTCCCTCCCCTTTTCCCTTTGGTAACCATAAATTTGTTTTTATGTCTGTGAGTCTGTTTCTGTTTTTTAAATAAGTTCATTTGTATCATTTTTTTAAGATTTCACATATAAGGGATATCATATGATATTTGTCTTTCTTTTTCTGACTTCACTTAGTATGATAATCTCTGGGTCCATCCATGTTGCTGCAGATGGCATTATTTCAGTCTTTTTTATGACTGAGCAGTATTCCATTGTACATATATGCCACATCTTCTTTATCCATTCATCTGTTGATGGACATTTAGGTTGCTTCCAAGTCTTGGCTATTGTAAATAGTGCTGCTATGAACATTGGGGTGTATGTATCATTTTGAAGTAGAGTTTTCTCCAGATATATGCCCAGGAGTGAGATTGCTGGATCATATGGTAACTTTATTTTTAGTTTTTTAAGGAACCTCCATACTGTTTTCCAGAATGGCTGCACCAGTTTACATTCCCACCAGCAGTATAGGAGGGTTCCCTTTTCTCCACACCCTCTCCAGCATTTATTATTTGTAAACTTGTAAATGATGGCCATTCTGACCCATGTGAGGTGATGCCTCATTATAGTTTTGATTTGCATTTCTCAGATAATTAGCAATGTTGAGCATCTTTTCATGTGCCTATTGGCCATCTGTATGTCTTCTTTGGAGAAATGTCTGTTTAGGTCTTCTGCTCATTTTTTGATTGGGTTGTTTGTTATTGAGTTGTTTGTATGAGCTGTTTGAAAATTAATCCCTGGTCATTCACATCATCAGCAAATATTTTCTCCCAGTCCATAGGTTGTCTTTTCATTTTGTTTACGGTTTCCTTTGCTGTGCAAAAGCTTGTAAGTTTGATTAGGTCCCATTTGCTTATTTTTGCTTTTATTTCTATTGACTTGGGAGAGTGATCTAAGAAAACATTGGTAAGATTATTTCAGAGAATGTTTTGCCTGTGTTCTCTTTTAGGAGTTTTTGATGTGATTTGAAAAGGGATTTTTTTTTTTAAACTTTCCCTTTCTGGTATTTCATTGTTAGTGTAAAGAAATGCAACAGATTTATGTATGTTAATCTTGTTCTGCTACTTTGCTGAATTTGTTTATCAGTTCTAGTAGTTTTTGTGTGGAGTCTTTAGGGTGTTCTATATATATTATGTCATCTGCATATAATGACAGTGTTACCTCTCCCTTTCCAATTTGGATATCTTTTATTTCTTTTTCTTGTCTGATTGCTGTGGCTAGGACTTTCAATACTATGTTGAATGGAAGTGGTGAGAGTGGGCATACTTGTCCTGTTCCAAATTTTAGCGTGAAGGTGTTGTTTTTCACTGTTGAGTATTATGTTGGCTGTGGGTTTGTCATAAATTGCTTTTGTTATGCTTAGGTATGTTCCCTCCATACCCACTTTGGTAAGAGTTTTTTTTATCATGAATGGGTGTTGAATTTTATCAAATGCTTTTTCTGAGTCTATTGAGATGATCATGTGGTTTTTGTCTTTTGTTTTGTTGATGTGGTGTGTCACATTGATTTTGTATGTGTTGAACCATTCTTGTGACCCTGGGATGAATCCAGCTTGATCATGGTGTATGATCCTTCTTATGTGTTGTTTGGATTCGGTTTGCTAATATTTTGTTGAGAACTTTTGCATCTATATTTGTCAAAGGTACTAGCCTATAATTTTCTTTTTTGGTAGTGTCTTTGTCTGGTATCAGGGTGATGGTGGCTTCATAAAATCACTTTGGGAGTATTCCCTCTTCTCAGTCTTTTGGAAGAGTTCAAGAAAGATTGGTACAAGTTCTTCTTTGTATGTTTGATAGAATTCTCCAGTGAAGCCATCCAGTCCTGGACTTTTGTTTGCAGGGAGTTTTTAAATTACAGTTTCTATTTCACTTACAGTGATCAGTCTGTTCAAATTATCTGTTTTGTCTTGATTCAGTTTTGGTGGGCTGTATGTTTCTAGAAACTTGTCCATTTCTTCTAGGTTGTCCAATTTGTTGGCATATAATAGTCTATAGTATTCTTTTATTTTTTTTTGTATTTCTGCAGTGTTAGTTGGTATTTATCCTCTTTCATTTCTTACTTTGTTTATTTTGGGTCCTCTGTCTCTTCTTCTTGGTGAGCCTGGCCAGAGGTTTCTTGATTTTGTTTATCATTTCAAAAAAACCAGATCTTGGTTTTATTGATTTTTTCTTTTTTTTTCTTTTTGTAGTACACGGGCCTCTCACTGTTGTGGCCTCTCCCATTGCGGAACACATGCTCCGGATGTGCAGGCTCAGCGGCCATGGCTCACGGGCCCAGCCGCTCCGCAGCATGTGGGATCTTCCCGAACCGGGGCACGAACCTGTGTCCCCTGCATCGGCAGGCGGACTCTTAACCACTGCGCCACCAGGGAAGCCCTCTGTTGTTTTTTTAATCTCTGTTTTATTTATTTCCTCTTTGATCTATATTATTTCTCTCCTTGTGACTGTAGTTTTTGTTCTTCTTTTTCTAATTCTTTTAGATGGTAGGTTAGGTTGCTTGTTTGAGAGTTTTTCTTGTTTTTTGAGGAAGGCCTATATCACAATAAACTTCCCTCTTAGATTTTGTGTGTTTGTGTTTTTGTTGTCATTTGTCTCAAGGTATTTTTAAAATTTACTCTTTGATCTCATTGTTGACCCATTGGTTTTTGTCATAGCATGTTGTTTAGTCTCCTTGTAATCATTTTTTTCTTGTTTCTCTTTCTGTGATTGATTTCTGGTTTCATGCCATTGTGGTCAGAAAAGATGCTTGAAATAATTTCTATCATCTAAAATGTGTTGAGGCTTGTTTTGTGTCTTGGTATGGGTCTAACCTAGAGAATGTTCCACGTGTGCTTGGAAAGAATGTGTAGTGTGTATATATTTTGACCGTAATGTCCTGAAAATATCAATTAAGTCTAATTGTTCTATTGTGTCATTTAGGACCTCTGTTGTCTTATTGATTTTCAGTCTGGAAGATCTGTCCGTTGATGTCAGTGGGGTGTTAAAGTCTCCTACTATTATTGTATTCCCATCCATTTCTCCCTTTATGTCTGTTAGTATTTGTTTTATGTATTTAGATGCTCCTACATTGGCTGTATATATGTTAATGAGTGTAATATCCTTTTCTTGTATTGATCCTTTTATCATTATATAGTGTCCTTCTTTAGCTTTCTTTATGGCTTTTGTTTTAAAGTTGATTTTGTCTGATATGAGTATTGCTACCCCCACTTTCTTGTCATTTTCATTTGCATGAAATATCTTTTTTCCATCTCCTCACTTTCAGTCTATGTGTGTCCTCCATCCTAAAGTGGGTTATTGGTTTCCTAAAGAGCTAGGTTTTGGTTTTGTTGAGCCGCTATTATATGTTTGTTTCTCCTATTTCATTAATTTCTGCTCTTACCATTTTTTTCCTCCTTTACTTTTGTGTGATTTATTTTGTTCTTTTTCTAACATTCCTATTAGTTGAGATGGCTGTTTAGCTCATTAATTTTGAGTTCTTTTTTTTTTTTTGAGTTCCTTTTTTTTGTATAAAAATTTAAGTTCTGATATATGTCATTTTTATCATACAATTCTAAGTATTTCTAAAGTTCCATTGTAATTTTTTTCTTTGCACTATGTTATATAGAAGTGTTTTAGAAATACATTTCCAAATGTAAGAGGATTTTAATCAAGTTTTTTTGGTATTTAATAATTTCTAATTTTTTTAAATTGACGTATACTTGAGTTATAATACCATATTAGTTTCAGGTATATAACAGTGATTTGATTTTTTTTGGGTTACACACCATACAAAGTTAATATAAGACATTGACTATATTCTCTGTGCTATACATTACATCCCTGTAACTTATTTATTTTATAACTGGTAGTTCGTACCTCTTAATCCCCTTCACCTATTTCGTACCTTCCCCCACCCCTCTCCCATCTGGCAAACCACTATTTGTTTTCTGTATCTGTTACTCTTTCTGTTTTGTGTATTTGTTTGCTTGTTTTGTTTTTTAGATTTCACATATAAGTGAAAATATACAGTATTTGTCTTTCTTTTGGTAACTTCCAAATTGATTGCATTGCAATTAGAGAATTTTGTGTATATGATATTGATTTTTGAAATTGTTGAATTTGCATTTTGGCCTTCCATGTGGCCAGTTTTTATGAACATTCTATTGTTGAATGTCAACTTCTTTAATGTTTTTAGTTCTGTGAATGTGCACAGTGTTCTGTGAATGACTGTAATTTACCTGTTCTCCTTTGATTTTTTTTTTTGGCTATTATAGACAATGCTTATAAAAACATCTTTGTGTGTATCTGTTACCATCTGAGTATATCCACAGGGAAAATCATACTAGTATACTTCCAAAAAGTATTTTCTTTTAAAATCAATCAAGATTGATCCAGTTTATAGTTTCAATATTGTATATGATTTGTGCTTGTTTCGCTATGTCCTTGATTAGTCTCAGTATTAGCAAACTGTTTTCCAGTCAGTTGTGGTTGAGAAAATTATATCCTTTTTTTGATTTCCAATTTCTTTGGAAAGTGAGAGACGCTTTTTTTTTCTTTCTTTCTTTTGGAGAACTACCTATTCTTATTCATAGCCCATTTTTCTACTAGGCTTTTCATCTTTCTTAGTGCTATATAAAATTCTTCCTTTGCCACGTGGATGGCACTTTGAGAAGGTTTAAAGTTTGCTTACCACCAAGGTATTTTTTTGTTATTTTGACTTGCTTCAAATGTTATTTGCTTTAGAAATGGATGATGGATCTTCTCGAAGAGATCATTTCATGAGAAGCAGATTTGCCGCTGGGAGGAGTTTGGGAAACAGGGGTAAGTATCTTTCCCTAATCTTCTGTTAGATAGTTTTGAATAGTGGAATGAATAGAGGCCTTTATGGCTGTTTAGTGCAAGGTAAAATCTTTTATAACTTAGTGTACAGTAGACTTTGTTGGGATAATGAGTTTTTTTTTTTGATGTCTGTTATTTTTTGCTGCTTTACTTTTTTTTTTTTTTGCGGTACGCGGGCCTCTTACTGCCGCGGCCTCTCCTGCTGCAGAGCACAGGCTCCGGACGCGCAGGCCCAGCGGCCATGGCTCACGGGCCCAGCTGCTCCGCGGCACGTGGGATCCTCCTGGACCGGGGCACGAACCCGTGTCCCCTGCATTGGCAGGCGGACTCTCAACCACTGCGCCACCAGGGAAGCCCGCTGCTTTACTTTTTTTAAGATAGTAGGCAGTAGTTAAATTGATTAGATAGATTGGTTAAAGAGAGTTGCTTCCCAGAGCTTCTTCAGGTGTTGGTGATTATTGTTCCCAACAATTGGCATAGGAGGAATGTTTGTAAAAGCTCCAAAGATTATGGTGTGAAGGACTTCTTTCTTAAGTTTTATATTTCTCAAGAAGAGGAAGTATGGAAAGCAGTTCTGTTAACTCATTAATATTAAGAGGTTGTTTTCCAAAAATTGGAATTTTTTGTTGTTAGTTTTAGAACAACCAGTGCTAGATTTGACAGATAATGACCCAGCAAAATACCTTCCTCCAGTCCATTTGATATTAAAATGCTGAAAATATTCTGCACTATGTTTTATTATAGTTCAACAAAATATTTATTATTAGAGCCTCAAATTAAATGGTCATATGGATTTTTAAATCAATTTATTTCTTTTATGGGATGCTGTAAGCTAGGGTTAATTGGCAGTTTTAAATATACACGACACTTATTCTTGAACTTATTATTATTTTTTGAAAAACGTCAATCCTTCTAGATATTTTTATTCATTGGAAACTAAAGGTTGATGCATGTATTTCATTTGCCATTTGGAAAATTTAATATTTTTAGATACAGTTAACATAAATGTGAACTTTTATGTTTTGACATGTTTCTGCTACTAATGGAAATAATTTATTTGTTAAATATGTCTATATACATTTTGTTTTTTAAGCCTGCATATTAAGTAAGAGTCGTTGATGATTTGGAGCATGTAGTTGTGCTAAGAGGTTGAAGTGTGGGTTTTGTTTGCTACTACTAAGATTAGAAATACAAATACCTTAATATTATACTCAGGGAACTATTTAATATTTAGATATATTTTAAAATCCTAATTTAGAATGGGTTATAACTTTTTGATGAAGACTTCTAAACATTGTTGAATAAAACCTTTTTAAATGAGAAAGCCATCACTGAGAGAGACTTTACTATAAATTGTTAATTCCATATGTTGTAGGTTGAAATACATTAAATTTCTGATCAAAACTCTTTGTAAATGTTAATACTTTAAAAAGTTATCTTTGAAAAGAATCTGAAAAAGAATAAACATATGTGTATGTATAACTGAATCACTTTGCTGTACACCTGAAACTAATGCATTATAAATCATCTGTACTCCAATAAAATTAAAAGAAAAAAGAAAAAAAAGCTATCTTTAATACTACATATAATCCTGGAAATTCATAGAAGACCCATGAGTATAACCCCTTTCCCGAATGATCCATTTAACATTTTCGCTATTTTCAATCTCTGTGATATTTGTTCTCAGAACTTGCATATCTAGTCACATGGTTTTGAAATTGACTCTTAATTGCTTAACATATATATTGATTAGCTTTTTATCTTCTGTGAAGTATGGCCTAAAAAGCCTTAACTTCCTGAATCACACACTTCTTTAGAATCTGATGAAAATACTGATAGTTGCATATATGCAATTTTGCATTTGGCATTAGGAGTTTCACAGATCCCTTAACTCCTCTGAACTAGGATATTACAGATGGAGGTAAGACAGTTTATGAGGATCACAAGATAATGATAGTTAATCCCAATGATAGTTTGAAGTGGCAGTTTATGATGTTTTGGATGTCTGTTCTAAGTTTTTGTTTTAAATACCTGTGCTGCTTGCCATAGCAACTATGCCCTCAAAATTCTTAATTTAGTGGTAGAGAAACACATGGAAAGAAATATTGCTAAAAAAGAGATACACATAGTGTATTGTGGGAATGTGACTGAAGGATTGACTATGGCTGGAGGACTGAAGGAGGACTTCACTGAAGAGGTGGCTTTTGAACCCGGCTTTTGAAGAGTGAAAAGAATTTTGCTAGGAAAAATATGGGAAGTTGTTTTATGAATTAAAATGTTGGGTGTTCAGAGCCATGTAGTGGGGGATAAAGCTAATAAGGCTGATATGAGGACATACTATGGAGGGGTGGGAGGTAAAGGGGAGTGGTATTCATGGCATTTTTTTCTTTATTATGTAGTCCCTTCCTAATTTTAATTTTAAAAAGTGGAAAGACTGAGAGCGACTGAAGTACTAGAAAAATGAATAAGTAACAATAATTACAGGACAGCAGTGTAAAATTTTCAGTAGCAATGACTTTCACATAGGGGTATAATGTAAATAGCTATCAGGGTGAGGTTTCAATATATAGAAAATCAGAGTTGAATTTCTTGATTAAAGGTCACTAGTAAAATAACACCTAGTAGACAGTTGTATTTCACCAATAGTATATTTGTTTTTACTTTGGTGTAATTTAATGATTTTAAAAAGTTGCAGGTGTATTTTATCTTTATAAGTTCCTGTACTACTCTCTCCCTGTCCTTGGGAGTTCCCTTAACCCACAGATTCATTTAATTCCTAGTTATTGATGGCACACTTGATTTTGTATGTTGAAGAGTTTTAACTCTCTCTGAACTTTTTCAGATCCTGGCGAGTCTAATACAAGAGAGAATACATCCACAGTGGGTGGCTTTAGAGTTGGAAGGAGTTTTGGAAACAGAGGTAACCTGCTTATGATATCTTACAATCAAAACTTAAGTGACCCCAAGTTTTATAGTCTTTGAATTCTGTTTCCCTTTAATATACATAGAAAGTGTGTGCCTTTCCCAAGACTTTGTGGAGATCACAAGGGAGTGCTTTCACTTTCCTAGTCATAGTTTAGAGCAGCAGTTTATGCTGCTTTGGATGTGTCTGCTACTCTATTTCGCTTTTTTTTTTTTCTTTTTAATAGCCATGCTACTTGCTGCAACATCTCTTCAAATTGATTTACCCCACAGGTGAACCCCAGTTCTTTTCTACTATACTCATGACTTGCTTTCCCTGCTCCCACAAGCAAGAGATCTATCTTATACTTCCAAAGGTGAATCTGAGTCGCCATCTTTACTTGAGCAAAGAACCAGTAGAAGCTTTGAAATTACATTTTTTTCCATAAAAACTTTAAAAACTGTAAAGTAGAACTTAGGTAAGAGTTTAAGATCAAGACCAGTAGTGTGTAGGTGGAAGACTTTCTCAAGCATTTTGGAGACCCAGCACTTGACTTTTCTGGGAGAGGTGTATGGAGGGGAAGGGGCAATTGTAGAGGGCAGTAGAACGTAATCCTTTTCTGAACCAACTTCAAAGATTGCAAATATTTAAATGAATAAAATAACTCAAAATTCAAGTTTTGTGATATATAGTCTTTTTGTAGGGATTATCTTTATTTTGAAATTACATATCTGTTCAAGGAAAAAGTATCATCCAATCATATATTGAGGTCAAAGGGTACTTATTTTTTATATGCTAATTGGGTATTAAATTTCCAAGAGGTTTAATGCTGGAGGGTACATAGGTTTGTTGAACCTGAGATGTTAAATGACTTTACATGTAGACATTTTGCATATATATGTATTTTTAAATTTATTTTTTATTTATTTACTTTTGGCTGTGTTGGGTCTTCATTGCTGTGCAGGCTTTCTCTAGTTGCAGTGAGCGGGGATTACTCTATTGCGGAGCATGGGCTCTAGGCGTGCGGACTTCAGTAGTCGTGGCACGCGGGCTCAGGAATTGTGGTTCGTGGGCTCTAGAGCACCGGTTCAGTAGTTGTGGCACACAGGCTTAGTTGCTCCGCGGCATGTGGGATCTTCCCTGACCAGGGCTTGAACCCGTGTTCCCTGCATTGGCAGACGGATTCTTAACTACTGTGCCACCAGGGAAGTCCCTGAATATAAATTTAACATCTGTCAAACAGTAACTGATTGGTCTCTGTAGTACCAAAGCCATAATTTAATGTATTTTATTATTTAGGTTAGATACTAATTGATACGCATTGCATATTGACATTAGTTTTTTGTTTTTTTTTTGCGACATGTGGGCCTCTCACTGTTGTGGCCCCTCCCGCTGCGGAGCACAGGCTCCAGACGCGCAGGCTCAGCGGCCATGGCTCACGGGCCCAGCCGCTCCGTGGCATGTGAGATGTTCCCGGACTGGGGCACGAACCCGTGTCCCCTGCATCAGCAGGAGGACTCTCAACCACTGCGCCACCAGGGAAGCCCTGACATTAGTTTTAACTTACATTATTCCCTGAGTATCTCTGCAGTAAAGATCATTTTATCAAGACTCAAATTTTTAAAATTTTATGAATTGTTTTGATGGATGCTTTTAAAATGAATTTTAGAGATATATCTATATGCTCCAGAGATGCATAAATCTGGAGATACAAGTTTTTTATTAAATGAGAAATTTGAAAGCAGAGCTTGATGAAAGATTGTTTCTTTAAAATTTTATAAACAAAAAGAAGTTGGCAGAATTTCCTTGTTATTGAGAAGGGGAAAATTATTGAATATTGAATTATAATTTAGTTGTATTGTCCTCCAGCAGATGAAGAGATTACAAGTTAATTTATAAAGTTTAAAAAGTTTTTATATTTTGAATAGAAAGTACATAGTGGTTATAGTGATATATATACACACACACAGCCATGTACGTATAGAGGAATATGTGACATTTGAGGTAATATAAGATTGGCTGGTATTTTAATAAACTGACACAGGAAGAAGTTGTCATACAATGTGTATGAATTCTCATTCACTATTTATATATACAGTTGTATGTGGTTTATACTGTTTTAAAGGGGCATCAAGACTAGAAGTCCCTGTAAAGAGAGTGTTTCTTTGTTTCTATGTTTCTCTTTCTTTCTTTCTTTCTTTCTTCTACAAAGGTATAGGTAATTGTTGTTTTCAGAAATGTGCAAGTTTAATTTTATATTTTTTGTAGGTTTTTCAAATAACAAGTTTGAAGAAGGTGATAGCTCTGGTTTCTGGAGAGGTAAGTTCATTGTTTTTTGTAGTGACTTTAAGAATTTAGTGTCCAGAGTACATGCTAAAGAGAAACTAAGATTAATTATCTTAGTCTGTTCCAGTTCTATTTTATTTAAACCCATTTTATAAAGCAGCTATAGCCAGAGCCTTAACCAAGAGTTCAGCCATCCTAATTTGGCCTATTGTCACCTGCCTTAATTAATCTATAAAGTGCAACTTTTGAATGCTGTGCTTCCTTAAGAAAAAGAGGATAGTAGAAAGAGCAAGTCAAGAATCAGAATTTCAATAAAGATGTAAAAAAAAAAAAAGAATAGCTAAAACAATTTGTGAAGGAAGATTAAAATGGGAGGAATTAATCTACCCAATTTCAAGATTTTGCAGTAATGATGGAGGGTAGATACATAGATCAATGGAATGGAATAGAGAACCCAGAAATAGACTGACATAAATACATTTTACTTGTTTTTGACAGCAGTGCAAAAGCTATCAAGGAAGAATAGACTTTTCAAAAAATGGTACTGAAACAGTTGGACATCCCTCAACAAAAACAAACAAAAAATGAACCTTAAGCTAAACCTCCACACCTTACATAAAAATTAAGTCAAAGTGGATCATAATCTTAAATGTAAAAGCAGGACATTTTTAGAAAAAAAAATAGAAAATCTTTGGCATCTAGAACTAGGTGAATAATTCTTAGACTTGACACTGCAAGTATGATCAATAAAAGCAAAAACTGATAAATTGAATCTCATCAAAATGAGTTAAAAATGCTTCATAGAAGATCCTTTTAAGTGGATGAAAACTAAAATTACACAGTGGGAAAACATATGTGAAAATCCCATATGAGACAAATGACTTGTATCTATAATATACAAAGAACCCTCCAAACAACTTAAAAAAATCCAACTAGAAAATAGGCAGAAGACAGGAACAGACATTTCATGGAAGAGAATATACACATGGCAAAGAAGCACATGAAAAGATGCTCAACATCATTAGCCATTAGGGAAATGCAAATTAAGACCATAATGAGATATCAGAGAATAACTAAAATTAAAGTATAGTGACAACATCAAATGCTGGTGAGTACGTATAAAAATTATATCACATCACTGGTGGGAAAATAAAATGGTTTTAGCCACTCTGAAAAAAAAAACGAATCAGAATTCCAGTTTCATATATAAATATAGTTTGAGACATATAGGTCTTTATTCAGATTCATGAGACTGTGGATCACTGCTGAAATCAAAGACATTTCTGTCAAAGGTACTGACACTCTGGTTTGGAGGAATACAGAGAATGATGAGAATAGAGTAATGTTACCATAAGGTAGACTACAATAATTAACATTACTCTTCCAGGAGAGCCTGGTTGAGTAGATTTGGGTGAGGCCCTGGAACCTGTATTTAAAAAGCATCCCTGGTGACTCTGATGCCTCTTTTGTTTGGTAACCACTGATCTATGGAATCTTTATAACATAATACACTTTGGAGTTCCAAACTTTGTTTCATGTCCCTGCTCTGCTATCTGCTAGTTGAATAACATAGAGCGAGTTGCTTAATTTCTCGGAGCCACAATTTCCTCTTCTGTAGAATGGAGACCATTCATTTTGTAGCTTGTTAGGCACAGTAAATGAGAATGTGTGTAAAAGCACGAAGCTTAGTCCCAGACACATTCATGGTAACCAGTAAATGTCATCTATCTTCATTAAATATTTGAAACTTGATCTTTTTTTTTTTTTTGAAACTTGATCTTAACTGTGATTCTCAAAATCAAAACCAAACCTAGACCTGATCACCTTAAAACCCTTTTGGAACATGGTGGGGTTTTAATATATCAGTTAAGACTGCTTCTCCAAACTACTCTGTCTCATTCTCCCTGCTTTTGTCTGCTTTTTCTCCTATCCTCTTTTAATGAAAACATAATGTAACATACAACTAATATTTGAGAGAAGAAAAACATCACCATTTTTATCCTTTTCCATTTCTCCTTGTCCTAGTTTTCCAACTTTTAATTAGTATTCAAGATCATTTCTACTCACCAAAGACATTCCTTCCTCCCCAGTTGATTCTTTAGTGATGAGCCAGAGTGCTTTTGAGCACAAATTCCAATTTCTCACAGCACTTGAGAGAACTTCTCTCCTCCAAAATGGTCTACTTTCTTCCTTTGATCTATTTACTTCTTTTTTTTTTTAACATCTTTATTGGAGTATAATTGCTTTACAATGGTGTGTTAGTTTCTGCTTTATAACAAAGTGAATCAGTTATACATATGTTCCCATATCTCTTCCCTCTTGTGTATCCCTCCCCCGCACCCTTCCTTTCCTTATTTACTTCTATTCTCAGTTTTAGTTCCCCTATACTAAAAAACTGTGTATATTCCTAAAAATTTCTTTCACTCTCACAGTTGTTGGCAAGCCCAGGAGCAGGTTTTGCTATCATTATAGAAGCTTTTTCTCTGCACACAGATGTATAGAGTGTTCTGTGGTTATTTTCTCTGCAATCTCATGTCCCATAGCTGGTATAGTATGGCGATAAGGAGCTCAGACACCTTGGATTTGAGACCCAGATGCTCCTCCTGTCAGTTGTATTATCTTAAAAAATTCTGCATTTCTTTTTCTTTGTTTATAATTTGAGGATAATACCCACCTCGTAAGGTTTTTGTGAGGACTTAAAAAGTTAAAACAGACTTCATTTAGAGCAGTGCCAGACAGATACTAAGTTCTATTTGTTGTTATTACTATTATTTTTATATAATTAATAGATTATAACTGATCTTGGGATCATCGTCTCATTTTTGTTTGCGCTTGGCTTTATTTTTTAAGCTACAGAAATAATTTTTTTAATTTTTAATTTTGAAATTATTTGACTCAAAAGAAGTTTCGAAAATAGTACAGAGGGTTTCCTCCACCCTTCTTCTTCTAATGTAATTGTACCCTTCACCCAACTGCTAATGTCATCAGCCTATTTTAATTCCCAGTGTGGTAAAAATAGCTTTGGGCTTGTTTTAGAACAGTTGGCCAAAGATTGTATGAGACCTTTTTCTCCATGTCAGGCCCCAGATTAATTCATAGTTTTTTTTTTTCTGTAAGGCAATAAATATTAGCTAACGTCATCATTATTCCAGAATTATTATTCCAAGTATCTTTCCAAAATTCTTTCTTTACTGTTCAGCACGCTTGTCATATTATATCTTGCTTCTAAGAAAGTTGTCTTGATGTTAGATGGCTCTTCAGGAATATTTGTCAGTTGTTGATGTCAGCTCAAATAGGAGCCTGCAACAAGAGCTCTGGGCCATTGTTTATTACAAAACAATATTAATTGAGCAGATTAGTACTTTTGCGCAGAAACTTATCTGATAGCTTCTAATCTGTTCAGCCATTTGTGTCATCACTGGGACCTAAAGTTCTCAGGTGCTAAACGTTAGTGATATGTACAAAGATCCCTTGAAACCATCTCGGTATTTCCCAAACATGGCTTTATTGGAATCTTCTAGAAAGCTTAAAGTTATTACTAAAAGTTATAATTTTTTAATTTAGAAAAATCATCCATTCCTTGCTGTCACTCTACACGTTCAAAATAAACATCTCTGGGGGTGGGCTCTTTCCAACTTACTAATAATTTTTAGGCAGCCTTCAGTGTAGTGATCCTCATACCACTATTTAGAAACCCTGGTAATGTTACTTGATAATGTCACTAAAAACAGAAAACCAGGATATCCCCCAATTTCTCCATTAAGATGAATGGGAGAAAGTTTGCATATATTAAAAAAACACTGACATCTCAGATTTATTAAGAAAGACAAGTTACAGAAATAATGATGACGTTATAAGAAGAACAGTCATGCATTTCTGAGATCCCCACTACTTAATGGTTAGATATTTCTGAAACTGTTTCTACTTAAACTGATATTTATGAAATTCTTATTTTTTGGCTGTGCTCAGATTTGACAAATTATACGCTTAACATTTAATATTTAGATATATTAGGTGATTTCTATAGGGAATTGACTGAATAATGTCTTTGTATTTCTGTGGTTACAATTATTTTAAAAATTAAAATGTTCATATTTTAACTTATAAAGATTTTTATTTTTTCTTACTAATTTCTCTTGTGACAGTGCTATTCTTTAGATGCTACATTAATGTAAATACTAAAGTAATTATTTAGATGCTATTCACATGTTAAATTTTTATTCAAGAGTCTAATAATGACCGTGAAGATAATCAAACACGGAACAGAGGGTTTTCCAAGAGAGGCGGTAAGGACCATGTTTTGGAACAATTTGTACTTAAGACAGAGATACGAAACTGAAAACTACATTCCTTTTTATGGCTGAATACTACTATTCCATTGTATGTGTACTTTTTTTTGTTGTTTTTGCGGTACGCGGGCCTCTCACTGTTGTGGCCTCTCCTGTACTTTTTAAAATCCATTCATCTGTTGATGTACACTTGGGTTTCTTACTACTTTTGGCTGTTTTGAGTAATGCTTATGTGAACATTCATATACAGTTATCTGTTTGAGTCGCTGTTTTTGCATTTTTGGGGTATATGTCTAGAAGTGGAATTGCCAGGGAATGGGACTGTGGTAAGTTAAAATATGCCACAAAATCACTGCTCTTACCAAGAATCAGCCTTTTTTTTTTTTAACATCTTTATTGGAGTATAATTGCTTTACAGTGGTGTGTTAGTTTCTGTTTTATACAAAGTGAATCAGTTATACATATACATATGTTCCCATATCTCTTCCCTCTTAGATCTCCCTCCCTCCCACCCTCCCTATTGCACCCCTCTAGGTGGTCACAAAGCACCGAGCTGATCTCCCTGTGCTATACGGCTGCTTCCCACTAGCTATCTATTTTACGTTTGGTAGTGTATATATGTCCATGCCACTCTCTCACTTTGTCACAGCTTCCCCTTCCCCCTTCCCATATCCTCAAGTCCATTCTCTAGTAGGTCTGTGTCTTTCTTCCTGTCTTACCCCTAGGTTCTTCATGACCTTTTTATTTTTTCTTAGATTCCATATATATGTGTTAGCATACGGTATTTGTTTTTCTCTTTCTGACTTACTTCACTCTGTATGACAGACTCTAGGTCCATCCACGTCACTACAAATATCTCAATTTCGTTTCTTTTTATGGTTGAGTAATATTCCATTGTATATGTGTGCCACATCTTATTTTTTTGTTTATTTTTTCTTTTTTTTTTTTTTGCGGTACGCAGGCCTCTCACTGTTGTGGCCTCTCCCGTTGCGGAGCACAGGCTCCGGACCCGCAGGCTCAGCGGCCATGGCTCATGGGCCCAGCTGCTCGCGGCATGTGGGATCTTCCCGGACCGGGGCACGAACCCGTGTCCCCTGTATCGGCAGGCGGACTCTCAACCACTGTGCCATCAGGGAAGCCCTGTGCCACATCTTCTTTATCCATTCATCCAATGATGGACACTTAGGTTGCTTCCATGTCCTGGCTATTGTAAATAGAGCTGCAGTGAACATTTTGGTACATGACTCTTTTTGAATTACCGTTTTCTCAGGGTATATGCCCAGTAGTGGGATTGCCGGGTTGTATGGTAGTTCTATTTTTAGTTTTTTAAGGAGCCTCCATACTGTTCTCCATAGTGGCTGTATCAATTTACATTCCCACCAACAGTGCAAGAGGGTTCCCTTTTCTCCACACCCTCTCCAGCATTCATTGTTTGTAGATTTTTTGATGATGGCCATTCTGACCGGTGTGAGATGATATCTCATTGTAGTTTTGATTTGCATTTCTCTAATGATTAATGATGTTGAGCATTCTTTCATGTGTTTGTTAGCAATCTGTATATCTTCTTTGGAGAAACGTCTATTTAGGTCTTCTGCCCATTTTTGTATTGGGTTTGTTTTCTTGTTATTGAGCTGCATGAGCTGCTTGTAAATCTTGAAGATTAATCCTTTGTCAGTTGCTTCATTTGCAAATATTTTCTCCCATTCTGAGGGTTGTCTTTTGGTCTTCTTTATGGTTTCCTTTGCTGTGCAAAAGCTTTCAAGTTTCATTAGGTCCCATTTGTTTATTTTTGTTTTTATTTCCACTGTAGGAGGTGGGTCAAAAAGGATCTTGCTGTGATTTATGTCATAGAGTGTTCTGCCTATGTTTTCCTCTAACAGTTTGATAGTGCCTGGCCTTAATTTAGGTCTTTAATCCATTTTGAGTTTATTTTTGTGTATGGTGTTAAAGTGTTCTAATTTCATTCTTTTACATGTAGCTGTCCAGTTTTCCCAGCACCACTTACTGAAGAGGCTGTCTTCTCCACTGTGTATTCTTGCCTCCTTTATCAAAGATAAGGTGACCATATGTACGTGGGTTTATCTCTGGGCTTTCTATCCTGTTCCATTGATCTATATTTCTGTTTTTGTGCCAGTATTGTACTGTCTTGATTACTGTAGCTTTGTAGTATAGTCTGAAGTCAGGGAGCCTGATTCCTCCAGCTCCATTTTTCGTTCTCAAGATTGCTTTGGCTCTTCGGGGTCTTTTGTGTTTCCATACAAATTGTGAAATTTTTTGTTCTAGTTCTGTGAAAAATGCCAGTGGTAGTTTGATAGGGATTGCATTGAATCTGTAGATTGCTTTGGGTAGTAGAGTCATTTTCACAATGTTGATTCTTCCCATCCAAGAACATGGTATATCTCTCCATCTATTTGTATCATCTTCAATTTCTTTCATCCGTGTCTTATAATTTTCTGCATACAGGTCTTTTGTCTCCTTAGGTAGGTTTATTCCTAGATATTTTATTCTTTTTGTTGCAGTGGTAAATGGGAGTGTTTTCTTAACTTCATTTTCAGATTTTTCATCATTAGTGTATAGGAATGCCAGAGATTTCTGTGCATTAATTTTGTATCCTGCTACTTTACCAAATTCATTGATTAGCTCTAGTAGTTTTCTGGTAGCATCTTTAGGATTCTCTACGTGTAGTATCATGTCATCTGCAAACAGTGACAGCTTTACTTCTTCTTTTCTGATTTGGATTCCTTTTCTTTCTTTTTCTTCTCTGATGGCTGTGGCTAAAACTTCCAAAACGATGTTGAATAAGAGTGGTGAGAGTGGGCAACCTTTTCTTGTTCCTGATCTTAGTGGAAATGGTTTCAGTTTTTCACCACTGAGAATGATGTTGGCTGTGGGTTTCTCGTATATGGCCTTTATCATGTTGAGGAAAGTTCCCTCTATGCCTACTTTCTGGAGGGTTTTTATCACAAATGGGTGTTGAATTTTGTCGAAAGCTTTCTCTGCATCTATTGAGATGATCCTATGGTTTTTCTCCTTCAGTTTGTTAATATGGTGTATCACGTTGATTGATTTGAGTATATTGAAGAATCCTTGCATTCCTGGAATAAACCCCACTTGATCATGGTGCATGATCCTTTTAATGTGCTGTTGGATTCTTTTTGCTAGTATTTTGTTGCGGATTTTTGCATCTATGTTCATCAGTGATATTGGCCTGTAGTTTTCTTTCTTTGTGACATCTTTGTCTGGTTTTGATATCAGGGTGATGGTGGCCTTGTAGAATGAGTTTGGGAGTATTCCTCCCTCTGCTATATTTTGGAAAGTTTAAGAAGGATAGGTGTTAGGTCTTCTCTAAATGTTTGATAGAATTCACCTGTGAAGCCATCTGGTCTTGGGCTTTTGTTTGCTGGAAGATTTTTTTTTTTCTTTTTTTGCTGTACGCGGGCCTTTCACTGTTGTGGCCTCTCCTGTTGCGGAGCACAGGTTCCAGACACGCAGGCCCAGCGCCCATGGCTCACGGGTACCAGCCGCTCCGCGGCATGTGGGATCTTCCCAGACCAGGGCACGAACCCGTGTCCCCTGCATCGGCAGGTGGACTCTCACCCACTTCGACACCAGGGGAGCCCTGCTGGAAGATTTTTAATCACAGTTTTAATTTCAGTGCTTGTGATTGGTCTGTTCATATTTTCTATTACTTCCTGGTTCAGTCTCGGTAGATTGTGCATTTCCAAGAATTTGTCCATTTCTTCCAGGTTGTCCATTTTATTGGCATACAGTTGCTTGTAGTAATCTCTCATGATCCTTTGTATTTCTGCAGTGTCGGTTGTTACTTCTTATTTTTCATTTGTAATTCTATTGATTTGAGTCTTCACCCTTTTTTTCTTGATGAGTCTGGATAATGTTTTATCAATTTTGTTTATCTTCTCAAAGAACCAGCTTTTAGTTTTATTGATCTTTGCTCTCGTTTCCTTCATATCTTTTTCATTTATTTCTGATCTGATCTTTATGATTTCTTTCCTTTTGCTAACTTTGGGTTTTTTTTGTTCTTCTTTCTCTAATTGCTTTAGGTGCAAGGTTAGGTTGTTTATTCGAGATGCTTCCTGTTTCTTAAGGTAGGATTGTATTGCTATAAACTGCCCTCTTAGAACTGCTTTTGCTGCCTCCCATAGGTTTTGGGTCGTCGTGTCTCCATTGTCATTTGTTTCTAGGTGTTTTTTGATTTCTTCAGTGATCACTTCGTTATTAAGTAGTGTATTGTTTAGCCTCCACATGTTTGTATTTTTTACACATCTTTTCCTGTAATTGATATCTAGTCTCATAGCCTTGTGGTCAAAATCACTGCTCTTACCAAGAATCTGCCTTTTTTTAAAAAAAAGAAATGTTCCTTGGGTTGATGCAAGTCCTTGTTGAATTTTCAGTTTGGAAAATGTTAATTCTAACAGTTTTTTCAATTTTTTTTCTTCTTTGGAGTAGCAGCATTTGGAGTCCCTTACTTTGCCATTTTCATTGATATCAGTGATACATACCATTTAATAATTTTCATTTTGTTTGCTGGTATATAGAAATACAATTAACTTTTGTATATTGAAGGTTCAGTAACCTCACTAAACTTATGGTAAGTACTTTTTCTTCCCATGGATTGTGGAAATACCCTGTTAATGGTGCAGTTGTGGCAACTTTGAGTGTTTTACAACTGTCATTTTTTCCTTTTAGTCATTTTTAGTTTTTACTCCCAAAGCAAGTAGCAGGTTTTTAAAATACTGTAGTATATCTATTTATACTAATGAAGTTGAACATTTATAGGTCACATACAGCGTTTCTTTTTAGTAACTATCTGTTAATGGCTTAAAATAGTAAAGTCATTGAATATGCAAGACTTGAATTAACTTGGCCACCATGTCCCCAGTATTTCTTTCTTGTTGTTTTGTGTTGTTTTTGCGTGTATGTTTTAATATTATAGGCTGTCAAGATGGAAATGATTCAGAAGCTTCAGGGTCATCCAGAAGAGGTGGAAGAGGTAGTTTCCGAGGTTGCTGTGGAGGGTTTGTTCTAGGAAGTCCAAGTTAGTGGTGGATTGCAAATAGTGTGTTCATTTATTACGAAAGAAATGATAAAAAATAATACTTATCATATAAGGTTGTTATGATGATTATATGAGAATAGTTAAGCATAGTGGTTGGTACATAATCACTTATATTGTATAAAATATTATTTTTTAGACACATGTAATTCCTTACAGTTAAGTGGGAATATATGAATCTTTTTAGCAGTGTGTGTGACTCATTTCTTTAATATTACATACTGTGAAGCATTTTAGAGCTTTGATAAAGATGGCTGACCTTACAAATAGGTGGCCTTCTCTATGGCTCTGTGTCCCATTATACCTCTTTTATACCAATGTGGCTTTCTACCTAAATTCTACCAGTCATCATTCCTTGGTGCTAAGGTATTGTTTTCTGAAGTCACTGTTGGAATGCATTTGTCACTTAACAGAGGAGGACAGAATAGTGGAAGCTAAAAACATAAATTGTAATAATGATTTAATAGATGTATAGTGGATTAGTGAATTGTCACTTTAAAAAAAGTGAAGGGATCTGGAGGGTTGCTGTTCAGGACTGATAAAGTTTGATTTGGGAACTGTGGGTGCAAGGGGTGCTTTTCCGGAGAATAAGCAGTGAGATTATGTAATGTGAAATTTCTGGGGGCAGTAACCATGCTGTTTTTCAGAGGTAATTTAACTTTTGCTTATATCATATTTTGGTGTAGTATTGACCCTAACTACTTTTATAAAATAATTTTAATAAAATAAAAATTTTAAGGAAGTAATTTGTAATTGAAGGAAATAATTTGTGGAGAAATTCTTTTGTGTGCTTCCTAGAAAAATACTGTAATTCCTGTTAAATTTAGATTATTTTATTCTGCATCTTTTTAACCTATGGCACCATAAGTTGATTTTTTTTCTTTGCTGCATGATTTAAAAGCTTCTTAAAAGTAACATAATCTAAATTTATTATCTGTAAATCTAGATAGCAAATATGAACAAGATGAGGGGACCCAGTGCACTGGTGGCATTTTTGGCTCTAGAAGATCAGCATTAACTGGTGTAGGTGAGAAATAGAATTTATTACTGAATATTAATCATTCACATTTGCTTTTATCTCTAGGATTAATAAACCTAATATATATGTTTAAGTGTACTAGATTGGCTCATGATTTTCTCTGCTTTTTAGATTTGTAGGCAAAAATACATGGACAGTTTTGCCTCCCTTACAAAGTTTGTGCTCTGTGAATTATTTCTTCTTTCTTATCTACCAGTTAATTTGAGTTATAAATTATACTTTTAATTGGAGGAAGGAAAATGAAGTTTGCTTTGATTTCAAAGAAAGGATTCTGAGTTAGGGGATTTGAGGAGAAAGTGAAAAAAAGGAACATAATTATTGACGAAAAATGTTGAAATGTGGATAAATAAACTGTGGTACTAAAAAGAAATGAGCTATTAAGGTATGAAAAGACATAGAGGAACCTTAAGTATGTATTCCTGAGTGAAAGAAGCCAATCTGAAAAGGCTACATACTGTATGATTCCAGCTATATGAAATTCAGGAAAAGGCAAAACTATAAGAAGAAGGGTGAAAAAAATAGGTGGTTGCTAGGGGTTGGGGGAAGGGATGAATAGGCAGAGCACTGAGGATTTTTAGGGCAGTGAAGTTACTTTGTATGATACTGTAATGGTGGAGACATGCCATTATACATTTGTCCAAACATAAAGAATGTATAATACCAGGAGTGAACTGTAATGTAAATGATGGACTTTGGGTGATTATGATGTGTCAGTGTAGGTTCATCAATTGTAACAAGTTACCTCTTTGGTGGAGGATGTTGATAATGGGGGGAGGCCATGCAGGTGTGGGGATAGGAGGTATATGGGACATCTCTGTACTTTCTGCTTAATTTTTCTGTGAACCTAAAACTGCCCTAAAAAAAAATGAAGTCTTTAAACAAAATGTTCAAATGAGAAAAAGGTTTAAGTATAGAATTAAGAGATGGGTGGATTAAGGGACTAGAATCCTGAGTAATTACTCAGTATTTGAAAAGAAATAGCTATATGGTTTATGTGCTTGAGGAGGAGCTGTGATTTCTCTAAATCTTCTGTAAAACAATGCCTTACAGGTAAGGGTGACACTTATCAAAGCAGAAGTGGTAGTGGAAGTGGACGAGGTGAGTTCTTATCTGGTTTACCTGTAAGTGGTTAAAATTACTGTAATCGAAGCTTAATTTTTGAAGTTAAAGGTAACTGTTGCTGCTTTTATACACTTTGTGGAGTATGCATTTGCACAGCCAGTTTTGGGGAGTTGTTTACTACTACTCTTTAATCCAACAATTCTGTTATAGGAATTACATACTGTAGGTGTATTTGCTCAGTACATGTAAAAGTGTGTTCACTGCAGCTTCATTTATAATAAGTAAAAACTGAAAACCACCTAAAAACTCATCAGTCTGTTTAATAAATGATATAACCATAAAATGGGAGATACCATGCAGATGTTAAAGATTGAGATGTAATCTATATGTATAAATTCTTACTAAAATAATGTTTTTTCTTATGAGATCGTTATTTGGCTTGGCATAGGGGATAAAGAAAGTTCAGTATAGATGATTTTATACTATGAAAAAATTTTTCAGAGTTAAAAATATTTAAATGTCATATAAAAGTTGAAATGTTTTCCAGACTAGTAAAACCATAAAGCTTGTTTGATGTCTCTGAAAAATTCTTAGTGATCATTATTAGTCCCCACTTCCTTCCTTTGGATTCTTGGATTCTTCACTATAGAAAAAGATTATTAATGGCTAAACCGTATCTTCTACAAATGCTCAGATGTTGTTTGAAAAAGGATTTCAAGACCTATGGACATACAGGACAAGAAAATTAGCTCACATGTAAAGATGCTATATCTAGTTAGCCTTTCAAATCTAATGCAGTCCTTGTTCTTTTTTTGTGATAGTACCTGAAAGTGGCACAATAGATGACTCCTTGTCTAAAGATCAGAAAGATAGTGTATAGAAAGGAGTCAACACGGCAGACCTGACTGCTGTTCTTTGAAAGACCTGGCTTCTGAGAACTTGAATTTAGGGTTCTCACCACTCTTAACTGGTGTGAGTGGCTCACTGTGCCTAAACAGTTTGTACAACTGTGTGGTTTATGCTGAATACCTGCTTTTCTTCTGGGAGTCTGGAAGTTTGGTACATGCCAGGCAGAAGGTTCCTGCATTATCAGCACCTCATAAGAACCCTGGATATTGAACCTCTAATGGGCTTCTCTGGTAGACAGCATTTCCAACATGTTGTCACAACTTGTCCTGTGTGATACCAGTGGAAGAGACTCTTGAAAGCTTGGTTGCCTGGTTTTCTCTGGACTTTTCCCTGTACACCTTTTTCCTTTGCTGATTTTGCTCCCTATCCTTTCTATGTAATAAGTCACAGCCATGGTTATGACTATATTCTGAGTCCTAGCAAATCATAGAACCTATGGGTTGTAGTGGGGACATCCCAACAAAGATGGATTTTTAGTTCCTTTTAGAAAATACATTCTTTTGCTGAGGAATATAGGGATTAGGAAAGAGACATAACAGTTTAAATGAAAGAATAGTAATATAACAGTATAATCATAAAATCAGCATGTTGAATGCTAAGGAAACAAAATGTTCAGGGTTCTATTTATCTTAATTGTGTCAAGTATTATTTGTACGAAGGGACTTTATGCATTTTCAGAACTTTTTCTCTTTGAAGATAAGCAATGAAAAGAAAGATGTGCATAATCTTGTATCTTGACTGTATCTTGTGGATTTCTTTAATAGGTGGTTACAAAGGTTTAAATGAAGAAGTAATTACAGGCTCTGGAAAGAGTAAGTTTTACTTTAGATAAGGTATTTGATTTTTATAGTGAGCATTCTTTTACTCTTCGATTTTTAAGAACATTTATCTGTTTTTCGATTTGATTCCTTTTAAGATTCTTGGAAGTCAGAAGCTAAAGGAGGAGAAAGTGGTGACACTCAAGGTATATTAATTTTTGTGTGATCCACATGAGTGTATATTGCATTTTAATACAAATACAGAATATTTAAAAACAGAGGTAACTTTTTAAAATTTGAAGTGAAAACTTTAATGGTAAACATTGGGAATTACTACAGTATTTAAAATTTGAGTTTGTCAGTTTTTGTATGTTTTCCCTCTTATTTTTATTCTAGTCCTTGAAATGTAAATTTTCTTTTTAAATTCTAAGGACCAAAAGTGACCTACATACCACCTCCTCCACCTGAGGATGAGAACTCCATCTTTGCACATTATCAGACAGGCATAAACTTTGACAAATATGATGCTATGCTTGTAGAAGTATCTGGACATGATGTACCACCAGCAATTCTGGTCAGTGTAATAATTGTTTCTATAATGACTGTGTAGCAAACTTCGGTTTTTAAAAATTTAGTACATTTCTTTAAGTTGGTATTAAAGAATACAAAAATTTCATCTTATTCTCTAATGTCTTAGGTTGGAAATTTAGAACCATGACTACCATCTACATTAGAATTAATTGCTATATTGAAAGGGAGGGTACTATATTTCCTCCCCACCTCCCAAAACCAGGATGAGAACTTTATTTAAATTCACTAAAAAGGATACTTTTCCTAGAGATCAAGATTTCTGCTTCCTAAGTGTGTGAGAAAGTGTGTCTTAGGGGAGTGGTTTTCTAAGGAGTGGGGGAGCCCAGAGTCCCTTGTTGGTAATGAACCATTTTTACTGATTAGAGTTATTTGTATCTCACAGGTTTTAAGGGGACAGAAAAGAGTTTCTAGAACCACTGTCTATACGGAATATTCCTTAATTCTATCAAGTAATAACATACAGGTTCTGGATACTACTTTTGAGTGGGGGCATATTTGTAAAGTATATAAAGTGGAATTAACAACTTGAAACTAATTCAAATAGAATATGTTTATGGAATGACCTGTATATGATATATGGAATTTAATCACTGCCACCTGCTTTTTTTTAGACTTTTGAAGAAGCTAATCTTTGTCAGACACTGAATAGCAACATTGCTAAAGCTGGTTATACTAAGCTTACTCCTGTGCAAAAATACAGTATTCCTATTATACTAGGAGGAAGAGATTTGATGGCTTGTGCTCAGACAGGGTCTGGAAAGACTGTAAGTCACTTTCCTGCATGTATTCTGCCCCATATTCAAACTGCTACTTTTTGAACTTTGGTTCTTCCCAAGTAGAAGATTTCAGTGAACTGTCATAAATATTCATGTGTGTTTGCTTCTGATTTCTGGTTTTATTGAGGTTTGTGTGCTTCTGAAGAAAGAATTTTGAACTATTTCCAGAGTACTTCATAGATTTTTAATCTCTAAGTGTGGTCAGCTTGTTCTGTGCAACATAGTATCTAAAACAAAATGATTGAGGGTCAAAGCACCAAAGTTTATAAGCCACAGAGAAAGGTAAAAAATAATTTATGTAATACAGCTGATACAGTTTTGGAGTCAAGAGAATGAGAAATAGCTGTAGGTATTATACCTGTTCCTTAGTATGAAGTGACCTCCGGTTATGCTAATTCTAAAAGAACTCTGATGGGACCAGGTTGGTCTTAGGACTAAACTGTGGTGTTTGTCTATTAAATAGGGTTCCATGAGATGAGTATTAAAGACTGTCATTTCCAGGATGATAGACTCTTGGTTCATACTGTATTAGTCTTAAAAAACTTCCATAGTAGAGTTGAAGGGAAAATAAGTGAGTTGTATAATACAGCAGCTGTTGTGTGACTTAAATGTGGTTTTGGAGGTAGATTTTAGTGTCTTATTTGTTTAATGAGAAAACTATAGCACAAAGTTTCTTGCCACATGTAACTTTAATAAGGGTGATATGTTTAGTAATCCAAATGAATGATTTCCCAAGTTTTGCTCTGCTTGTGGACCACTTTTGTCATGCATTCTGATAATTTTATTTCTACCCCAAAAGGAGTCATTTAGAATGAATGCTGCATGCTGCATTAACCTCTAAAAATAAGTTTATTTAGAATCTATGGCTGTGCTTTTTAAAAAAAAAACAAAAGATATTTTCATAGGGTAGATTAACTATCAGACATTTTATATTGTATAATATGAGCATGAAGACCTAAATGTTAAAAACTCGTGGAAATAAAAATAGTTTTCCTTTCTCATCTTAAATTTACCAAAAAGATGAAAGAAGAAGCTAAAGGATATGAAGACATGAGGAATAGGTTGCCATAGGGAGAAGGATGATGCACTATACATTTGTAATTTATGGAATTTAACTTCTAGGCAGCTTTTCTCTTGCCAATTTTGGCTCATATGATGCGTGATGGAGTAACTGCCAGTCGTTTTAAAGAGCTGCAGGAACCAGAGTGTATTATTGTCGCACCAACCCGAGAATTGATCAGTCAGATCTATTTGGAAGCCAGAAAATTTTCTTTTGGGTAAGTACATCTAGAATGCCACTCACAAACAAGTTTTTCTTTAGAGAATTTTCTTACTTATTTTGGGAAGAACACAGTGCATGAATAAGAATGCACTCATGTAATTGATTGAAGTTTCCTTTTTCATAATCTTGTTTATGGAATCTCTTTATTTTAAAAAGAAACATTCTTATTAAAAATTAGATGATAATAGAAATAGATAAGACAATAGTGAACATATTGGTGTGTCTTCTGGTAGTTTTTAAATGTATGTTTAAAAAATGAACTTAGGGTGTTCCTAATAATTTTCTGTTCTTTACACGTAACTTAATAAAATGGATAACTGCTTATTTAACAACCAGACCTAATTTTTAATGACTTTAAGATTGCCCATGTGTATGTATTTTATTTCTCTATTTTGGGGGATTTAGGTTGTTTCTAATTTGGAGCTACTATAAATAAAAATAATTCTTGCTGTAATGAACAGCTTGCTATATAAATTTTTTCTACTTTTATGTTTTAAGTATTTTCTTAGAGATTTTTATAAATTTAATGTTAAAGAATATGGACTTATTTTAAAGCTTGCCTTCTACCAGCAGTATATGAGAATGCCAATTTCACTACACACTTTGCCAGTATTTGGTATTAGTTATTTGTTGCTGCTTACCTTAAAACCTAGTTGCTCAAAACAATAAATATTATCGGGCTTCCCTGGTGGCGCAGTGGTTGAGAGTCTGCCAATGCAGGGGACACAGGTTCGTGCCCTGGTCTGGGAAGATCCCACATGCCGCAGAGCGGCTGGGCCCATGAGCCATGGCCGCTGAGCCTGTGCGTCCAGAGCCTGTGCTCCGCATCGGGAGAGGCCACAACAGTGAGAGGCCCACGTACTGTAAAAACAAACAAACAAAACAAAACAAAAAAACAATAAATATTATCTTACAGTTTCTGAGGGTTAGGAATTGCGAAACAGTTTAGCTGGGTGTTTCTGACTTGGGATCACTTATGAAGTTGCAGACAAGATGTCAGCTAGGATTGCAGTCATCTGAAGGTTTGACTGGATCTCTGTGTAAGGATGCTTGATTGTCCTTAGGAAATGACAACTGGCTTCCCTTAGATTGAGTGGTCAATGAGAAAGAGCAAGGAGGAGGTTGCTATGACTTTTATAAAACAGTTGCAGTCACTTTGGCCATATTCTGTTAGTTACTAAGCAAGTCAGTAAGTCTATCCCATACTCAGGACTGGCTATATATTTTGCTAGAACTAGTGCAAAATGAAAATGCAGGGTCCTTTGTTTAAAAATTATGAATTTTAAGCAGCAAATATAGAACATTAAACCAAGCACAGGGCTCTTCTAAGCTTGGTACCCTGTATGACTGCACAGGTTGTACACCTATGAAGCCAGCCTTGTACACACCTATAGGGGAGCGGAGTTAGGATCTATATTTAAAGGAAGGAGTATTGAAGAATTTATGTACATATTTTAAAACCACCACAGGTATCTTCATTTTTTTTTCATTTATTTGGTTATTGAGAGGTTGAACGCTTTATACATTTTCTTTTGTGAATTATGTATTATCTACCAGTTTATCTATTGGGATATTAGTGTTTTTCTTTACAATTTTTTAGAGTTTTCTCTGTATAGAAGCTTAACCTTTTATTTTGTATAAATCAGTTTATTTAAAATGAGAGTAGAAAAAATTAAAATTATTAAAATCCCTTTAATGTCAAGTTTGACAGATCTTTTGGAAAAAGTAGGTGTACATTGCTTATATCAGTGTTTATTTCTTGCTTATCCCCATGTAGTATGTTGCTCTTCAGTCTTTTAATTTTACTTTTTTTTTAAAGCTTTTCCAGTAAATTTTTTAAAATTTTTACTTATTTATTTTATTTTTGGCTGTGTTGGGTCTTCGTTGCTGTGCGCGGGCTTTCTGTAGTTGTGGCGAGTGGGGGCTACTCTTTGTTGTGGTGTGTGGGCTTCTTATCGTGGTGGCTTCTCTTTTTGCGGAGCACGGGCTCCAGGTGCGCAGGCTCCAGTAGTTGTGGTGCGTGGGCTCTGGAGCGCAGGCTCAGTAGTTGTGCCGCATGGGCTTAGTTGCTCTGTGGCCTGTGGGATCTTCCTGGACCAGGGCTCAAACCCATGTCCTCTGCATTGGTAGGCAGGTTCTTAACCACTTCGCTACCAGGGACGTCCCAACTTCAGGCTTTTAAATCACGTAAAAGATAACAGTTTTCTTTTTTTAAAAACGAAAGCATATGTATGATAAATTCAGATAATTATGCACAAAATGAATATTAGTACATGGATATTTGTTGGAACATTTTTGTGGCAAAAAACTGAAAAGTATCAATGTTTATCTTTAATTCTCCTCTTCAGAGTTTACACACTATTAACAGTTTATGTGAAATAGCTGGTGCACATGTATGCACTTTAATTCTCTCAACAAATGGTGGCATACTAAGCTTGTTGTCACCCTGTTTTTTAAAAGTTGTGTATGTTGGAGCTATTGTTTACTCTAGAACTGTACTCCTTTTTATGAATGCACAGTATTTCTTTGTATGGGTGGGCTATAATTTTAAGTCTTTTATTGTTAGACAATTAGATAGGTTTCAATCTTTTGATACTAAAAATAATGTTAGTAGTGAATATTATTTTACAGTCATCTTTACCCATGTGTGGGGACACATCTGAAGGGAAAATTCCTAGATGTGAATTTATTGGGAAAAAGATATGTTTTAAAATTTTAATAGAGATTAAAATTGTGAAAGGTGTTGTATCAGTTTATCCTCCTGAATGCCAGTTTCCCTATGCCCTGGATAACATGGTATTATCACACTTGAGGGAAAATGTTGTTAGTCTTCATTTATTTTGCTTTTAAAAGTAATGTTGAACTTAACGTGTTTAAAAACCTTTGTATTTTCTGTGAACCATTTGTTCATGTTTTTGGCTTATTGCATGAGTGTTGGTCATGTTTATCATTGTTTTTGAAGAGCCCTTTATCAGACAGGTTGCAAATATTTTTTTCTCACAGCTTTTCAGCTTCTTTCTGGGAAGAATTTAATTTTTTAAAAATTATGTTGAATGTATTAGCTTTTCCTTTATGGATTTCATTTTACATCTTGTTAGAAACAAATGGCTAATTTTCAAGTAACTAGAAAGTGGCATTTACTTTTATTGTTAATAGGACTTGTGTAAGAGCTGTTGCTATATATGGGGGAACCCAGTTGGGGCATTCCATTCGACAAATAGTACAAGGCTGTAATATATTATGTGCTACTCCTGGGAGACTGATGGATATCATACGTAAAGAAAAGGTAGGCTCTAGAGGGATAACAAAGTTGTGGTATTGATTAATAATTTTTTTTGTTTGGGGAAGAGAGAGATTGGTATAAAGATACATATATTTATTACAGCACCATTTATATATTAGGCCCCCATCAGATGCTTTGAATGCATTCTCATATAAATCTTAAAATAATGAAAATAGGAGGTAAATAGTATTTTCCATTTTATACTTGGGAAAACAAGCTTAGTGAGATTATGTAATTTATTTTAAACCTCTCAGTTAGCTCTAGTAAGTGATAGAGCTAGGGTTAGAATCTGGATCTGATTCCAGAATCTATATCCTATACCCCACTACACCGGGAGAGAAATGTAATAAGTGGTTTTATCTAGTTTCATATATGTCTTGATGAAATAAATTTTTTTTCCTGAAAGAAAGCCTTTGTGGCATCAGTAATTTTGTCTTCTGTTTTAGGTGTGGGAGTGATTATTATCCAGGACTATTAATTTTCTGTCTTCAGAAAGAGATTTTAGGGCTACGTATTTCTTTTTGGTATTCACATACCACAGTATTACATCTCTGTATCAATATTTTCAGTTCACTTTCATGACTCTGATTTGCTTTTTTAAGGCCCTTCTCTAAAGGGATTGTTCAAAACATGCTGTTTCTGCATAAAGGGACTTTTCTTAGGATACTTATTAAGAGTATCCAGAGAAATCCACCTTGATTAAACATCTTCCCTGGGGTACCAAAATAACTTGTTTTCTTTTTGCAAATGTGTGTCTGTTTTTAGCACTAAGTATCCATGATAGGTTAGAAAAGTTTCCCAGTTGTTCCTGAGTGATTAGAGAATGGGGGATTTATTAAGGGTTTAAAGGAGTTAGAAATAAGTTTAGCAGTTACAAGACATTTGAATATGTCATGCTGTTAAGCAATTTTATTTTTTACATTAAAGAGTCTGACTTTATCAGATAATATAGTCTAGATCTGTGCTGTCCAATACAGTAGTCACTAGCTACATGTGGCTATTTAAATGTCAAAGTGATATAAAATTAAAAATTTATTTCTTCAGGCACACTAGCTACATTTCAAGTGCTTATAGCTGCATGTGGCTACTGGCTAACAGTGAAGATACAGAATTTTTAAGTAATTACAGAAAGGTGTATTGTGTAGTACTGATCTAGATGTTTTGGTTTCTTTCTTATAAAATGTTTTATAACATAAGGCAAAATTGAGAACTGAAATAAACACTGGTAGTATTACCTAAACATAACAGTTCTCTTTGTTGTATGCATTTATTTCTAATCTTCATCCTTAAGAATATATTAATAGTTGGAGTTGTAGAGAATATTTTAGTTTAATACATTAACTAGTATGCATTCTCTGCCCTCACCCTTGAAAATATCCTTAAAGATTGGTCTCAGACAAGTCAAATATATAGTTTTGGATGAAGCTGATCGCATGCTGGATATGGGTTTTGGACCAGAAATGAAGAAGTTAATTTCCTGCCCAGGAATGCCATCAAAGGAACAGCGTCAGACCCTTATGTTTAGCGCAACTTTTCCAGAAGAAATTCAAAGGTAAATTTTTTCTTCTTAAAAGTAGTTGCTATGTACTTGATGCTTTTATAGCAGGAGAAATACTGTGAATATCTTATTTTTGAGAGATTTACTTCATTTAATCCTAAATTTAAGATTGTAACGTAGGTAGTTTAGAAGTATTTCCAGGAAGTTTACCCTATTTTTCATTGTTTCTTACCTTAATTCCTGGCTTTACATTAGCATCACATTTTATTAAAGTCTGTGTGTGTGTGTGTGTGTGAGAGAGAGAGAGAGAGAGAGAGAGAGAGAGGGAGGGAGGGAGGGAGGGAGGGAGAGAGGGAAGGGAGAGGGAGAGCGAGCGAGCGAGCGAGCACATGAGTGCAACACCTAGCTAGGATTTAATAAGTGCTTACTAAATGAAATTATTTTTATTGTTGTGCCTTCTCCTCAAACCAAATAATAGAGCTTGGGGGAATTGTGCTTGTGTTGGAAAATTTATATACCAATTTCCGCAGATATTTGAGTATCATACCACGTACTCTGTGGTCTGTGAGTTCTGAGATTAGGATGACACATTCCTGCTAGAGTGGTGACTCTACCTCCTGCCTGCTGATCCCTTGGCCACAGGGAACCTGAAATGCCCATGCAGCAGCTCTAGCTTACAGTTCAGTAAGACTCTTCCTGTTTTCTCTGGTGGAACCATTCTCTCTTTGGGAACCAAGACCTCCAAAACTGCAGAACCTATACTTGTAGTGGGGGTAGGAAGCACAGATTTCCCATGTGGGTCACTGGAAGTGATGGATGGTATGTGGACCACCCTTGCTTGTATCTCTTGGTTCACAGACCCATGTACCACATGAAGATCTTTGATTCCTACTGAAAGATATTCCATCCTCATAAAGAATCACTTCCAAGCTTGTCCCTTTAGCTGTTCTTTCAGTGGACAGTTCCAGTTTGTCAGGCTGGCAACTTCTGGGTGTTGTGATATGATATGGACCCCATGGTTGTGCACCTGCTGCAATACCACCTTTGCTGAAAGTGGATCCCCTGGTCTGATAGAATGTTACGTGGGGTCAAACACTATCAATTTGTATTACTTATTAGATGATTTTAAAAGCCTTTGTATAAAGTTAAAAAGAGCTCTTTACTGAGGAAAAAGTCTAAATCGTAATAAAGCATTTGGCCAGTTGCCAGGATTTTTTTCTTTCTTAGTGGTACATAAAAGAATAGTTTCTTATATTTAAATGGTGTCTTAAATTTGAAATAGGGTATCTACATTCCCATCATCATCATAGGTAATTAATACTAGGTGGGTAAATACCTACCTAATTAGCAGGTAATATTCCTGCTGCCTATCACTTTTTTTTTTCAACAAAATAATTTTATTTCCGGGACTTCCCTGGTGGCACAGTGGTTAAGAATCCACCTGCCAATGCAGGGGACACGGGTTAGAGCCCTGGTCCGAGAAGGTCCCACATGTTGCGGGGCAACTAAGCCCGTGCGTCACAACTACTGAGCCTGTGCTCTAGAGCCCGCGAGCCACAACTACTGAGCCCACGTGCCACAACTACTGAAGCCCGAGCACCTAGAGCCTGTGCTCCGCAACAAGAGAAGCAACTGCAATGAGAAGCCTGCGCACCGCAACAAAGAGTAGCCCCCGCTCGCCGCAACTAGGGAAAGCCCGCACGCAGCAATGAAGACCCAACACAGCCAACAATAAATAAATAAAATTTTTTAAAATTTATTTTTATTTATTTATTTCCTAACACGTGGCAAACATATACATCCAGTACGTACTTATCTTGGACATTTATTCACAGATGACTTCCAAACTACAACTGTCTTGATATTTAAGCAGGAACTAAAAGTTATCTTAGTTGATATGAAAGATGCTTTTAGATGGATAACAGTATGGATATATTGCATTGGTCACAGCAGAATTTGATTGATTAGTTCTATAAATTTAAAGCTTGGAAAAGTTACTACTTTTGCATCTAATGCTTTCAGACGAATAGGATGCAGCAATATCAACTTGTATTCCAGAGTAATTTCCTTAGTTTTTCTGGTGATGGAACCACTTATCCCCATCTGTTGGTATTGTGCAGGCAGATTCACATGGTGGTGGTAAAGCATCCACAATGGCTTTGGCAGCATCAGTATCACACTGGAAGGGGCTCTCAAACACTGTGGTATTCATGCAACTGATTCCTTTTCCATCAGTTTTCTAAGTCACTAATGCTCTCCAGTAGTCATGAGTGCTTTTAATAATATCAATTGCAAAGTCCTTATCTTTAAATTCTGCGTTGAAAGCAAACTGGTTCTCAGGTTTTCTATCAGGAACCTTGTACCTTCTAAACCAGTCCACAGTAGCTTCCAGGTAGCCAGGTTTCAGCCGCTTGACATCATTAATATCATTATAATTGGCTGCATCAGGATCATCCACATTAATGGCAATGACTTTCCAGTCAGTTTCCCCTTCATCGATCATAGCCAGTATGCCCAGAACTTTCACCCTGATTATTTCCCGTCTTGCACATACCTTGCTTCCAATTTCACACACATCAGTTGGATCATTGTCATCACAGCAGCTGGTGTGTTCACAATTGTGTCCTGGGTCTTCCCAAGTCTGAGGGATGGCACCATAGTTCCAGATATATCCTTTATAAGGGAACAAATTTGCAACATAACGGAGTTTTCCTTTTTTCACATCTTGTTTAATTGGGTTTAAAGGATCCTTTGTAGCAATCTCCATTTTTGCATTCGACCAGCGTGGTACTTCAACCACCATGTGGAACACATCCTTATCTGCATAAATTGGAATATCATGAAATGGAGATATATATTGTCCTGTTTCATTTTTGAGGAAGACTCAGTACTCGAGGGTGAAGGGTGTGGCGTGCTCCTCGCTGCTGAAGCCGCTCATGATGCTGGAGACCAGCCGCCGCTGCTGCTACAAAGCCACTCTATTTTTTTTTTTTAATTTTAATTTTTTTTTTTTTGGCTGTGTTGGGTCTTCGTTGCTGCACGTGGGGCTTTCTCTAGTTGTGGCGAGTGGGGCTACTCTTTGTTGTGGTGTGCGGGCTTCTCATTGTGGTGGCCTCTCTTGTTGTGGAGCATGGGCTCTAGGTGCGCGGGCTCAGTAGTTGAAGCATGCAGACTCTAGAGCACAGGCTCTGTAGTTGTGGCGCACCGACTTAGTTGCTCCACAGCATGTGGGATCTTCCCGGACCAGGGGTTGAACCTGTATGCCCTGCATTGGCAGGCAGATTCTTAACCACTGCGCCACCAGGGAAGTCCCATCTATTTTTTTAATTTACCCTGAAATAGGAAAGTGTTTGGCCAGATATTGGCCAGCCCAAATGACTAATGTATACTACCGTCAGTCAGTAATATTTGTTGAGGACTTTTTATGAGCCATATTTGATTATAAGCCCTGGGGCTATATGATAAATAGGATAGAGTTCCTGACCTTGAGTTGTTTATATTCTTGAGTTCTTGATGACTTCTCAGTTGCTTTACTGTCTGCATTTAAATGTTACAAGTTGCCTATTATTCTGTCTAAAGTCCACTTTTTTCATTCTACATATTCACTGAACCATTGAAGCATCCATTTCCTTGGCTTGCACTTGTACCTGTTTACTCTCCCAAACTTATTACCTGTATTTTTTTGATTGACGTATAGTTGGTTTACAATATTATATTATTTTTAAGTGCTCAGTGTAGTAATTCAGTATTTTTGTAGAATATATTCCATACAAAGTTATTTTAAAATATGAAGTATATTCCCTGTACTGTACATTACATTTTTGTAACTTATTTATTTTATACTTAGTAGTTTGTAACTCTTAATCCTCTTCGCCTCCTTTACTCCTCTCTCAGCCCCCTCCCTTCTGGTGACCACTGGTTTGTTCTCAGTATCTGTGAGTCTGTTCCTGTTTTGTTATATTTGTTCCTTTTATTTTTAGATTCCACGTATAAGTGAAAACATACAGTGTTTGTCATTCTCTGACTTATTTCACTAAGCATAATAATCTCCAGGTCCATCCATGTTGTTGCAAATGGCAAAATTTCATTCTTTTTTATGGCTTAGTAATATTCCATTGCATATACGTATACCCCACATCTTCTTTATCCATTCATCTGTTGATGGAAACCTAGGTTTTCATATCTTGGCTATTGTAAATGATGCTGCTGTGAACATTGGGGTGCACATATCTTTTCAAATTAGTGTTTTTATTTTCTTTGGATATATACCCAGGAGTGGAATTGCTCCATACGATCGTTCTATTTTTAAGTTTTTGAAAAACTTCCATACTGTTTTCTATAGTGGCTGTACCAATTTACATTCCCACCAGCAGTACACAAGGGTTCCCTTTTCTCCACATCTTGCCAACCCTTGTTATTTCTTGTCTTTTTGATAATAGCCATTCTGACAGGTGTGAGGTGGTATCTCATTGTGGTTTTGATTTGCATTTCCCTGATGATTAGTGATATTGAGCATCTTTTCATGTGCCAGGTGGCCATCTGTATGTCTTCTTTGGAAAACTGTCTATTCAGGTCCTCTGCCCAGTTTTAAAAATTGGGTTGTTTGTCTTGTACTGTGAAGGAAACCATGAAGAAACACAAAAAGACAATGTACTGGTTGGGAGAAGATAATTGCAGATGATATGTTCCATAAGGGATTATGTAAAGATCTTCTACAACTTAATATCAAAAACAAACAACCCAATTATTACTTGTATGCTTAATCTCTCTCCTCAGCTCCAGACTTTTAGATTTAACTCTTTAGGATTGTTTTTCCTCTTAGATGAATTAACCGGTAACTCATGTTCATCAAGTCCAAAATTGAACCTATTCTTCAGCTCCCTCTTTCCTTTCCAGTTTTCCTTATTGGCATTGTGGTCTTTGGCAGCCAGAGTCCTTTGAATCATGTTGATTCCTCCCTCATACTCCTTTAATTCTGCCCTTCAAAAGTGTTCAACTTGGCAGTTATCTCTAAAATATTTCAAATTCGTTAGTTTCTTTATTTCCCACCTTATTTTAGGTCCTTTTCAGTTTCCCTCTGCTCATTGGTGGTAGCTTTCTTTCTAACCTGTCTCCCTGCCTGTAGTTTCATTTTTATGCTGGTAAAAATTCCAAAACAAAGTCTGATCTTTATAGCTATTTATTTAAGATAAACCCTCCCATGTCTTTCCATCTCCACAGACTAACCAACTTTCAAATTCTTTTACACAAGAGTTTCTGCCTCATTTGCCACTTTTTTACCTGGACCGATGTATTTCTGGCTTATTTAGACTATTTCCTATCAGCCACACAAGCCAAATTCTGTTCCTCCTCATTATTTATCCTTGTGTCTTCTTATGCATTGAGTGCCTTTCCCTAGTCATCATTTTTTCACATTCTTGCTTGCTGCTTCCTTAGATGAAGCTTCAAACTTGAAGACTCTTTAACAGACATCATTTCATCCATTTCCTGCCAGTCTTGTGAAAGAATCCTGTATCTTGTGAAAGAAACTATTTAAAACACTTTTCATGTTTCTTGGAATATAGTTAGGTTCAATAGATATTAACTATTGTAACACTGGATTATTATAGTAAATCATTAAATAATTAAAATATGTAAATATTAACCTATATAAATATTTTAGATTATAGTAATTATTTTTTAATATAATTATATTTATGCTACCTGATATGAGCACCTCAGAGGCAGAGACCATCACATTCATCTTTATACACCCAGTGCCTTGTACCATGTATGCCTGACACGAGGCACTCAGAATATGTTTTCATGAGTGTAAAGGATGATTGACAATTAAGACTTGCAGATGATCTCAAGGTTTGAGAGGGTTCTTGTCTCTAGAGGTAGTATATCAACAGTGTTTTTCTTTTATGGTAAGAGAGCAGATGAAGAGAGAGAAGCAGCAGTGATTTATTAAGATTATGGATTTACTGAGTTTGAACTATTTTCTTGATATGCTAGGAGGTGGCTAGAAAGGGACTGCTTTTGGCACTGCTACATAGGAGAGTATATACATGACTGCTACATGACCTTCCCTTTTTTTCCTTCCAAACTTGCTCTGTAATTGGCAATTCCCCTTCTCCCTACTCCATGTTCCTGGGTGATCTAGAGCAGGGCTTCTTAATTGTGTGCTGTCAGTGAGGTGTGTGTGTGTGAAGATGCTGATACCCCCAACCTTTGGGGTGAGCCTCCACAACTTGGTGTGGCCCTGGCCCCTAGTCTCTTCACATCATCACATTTTTTTGCCCAATTATGCTGTACAAATATTATCATTTTCTATGTTTGTCATGTTACAAAAAGCACTGACTTAAGATCTGGTTTGCTTCTAATACTTCATTTGAAGTATACTAATTTGACAACTAATATTTTCAGGAAACAACTCCTAGAAATAACATACATGAAAGCAATGAATGAAAAACAGAATTTCTGTTGTAGGGTTACATTTTAATTTTTAATAAAAAAATTCCTGCTTGTAGTCTGATACTTAGCATACTTTTTTTTATTGTTATATACACGTTTTATATAGTTTTGTATGGTGAGCACATCCACTTGAGATTACTTATCCGTAATTTGACACAGACTTTTTCACTAGTAGTTGTTAAGTATTTTGCAAAATCTTAACATTTAATACTGATATTTGAATGTACTTGGATGTACATTGGATGTACTGATATTTGAATGTACTTGGTACTGGTATTTGAATGTACAAAGTACTGATATTTGAATGTACTTGGATGTACATCTAAGTACTTGGATGATGTAAGTATCCACCTTCTCTTATTATAGCTGTTATAATCTGGCTTATTAATATTGAGGTAACACTTGCAGGAATTCAGTAAATATTATGAGTATTAATGGAAGAGGATAAGTTAAGGAATACTCTCTTGTCTTTCTTTCTTGTCTCTTGTCTTTCAAGGTTGGCTGGGGAGTTTTTAAAGTCGAATTATTTGTTTGTTGCTGTTGGACAAGTGGGTGGAGCATGTAGAGATGTTCAGCAGACCATTCTCCAAGTTGGCCAGTACTCAAAAAGAGAAAAACTTGTCGAAATTCTACGAAACATAGGTACCTTACATTGATATAATTATCTTTTGTTATGATTTTGATTTTTACAATAATGACTTATGGAAATGACTTCAAACGTTATTTGACATAAGTTAAATAAATAAGTTTTCACTGTTTCCTCTTTCTCTAAAGCTCTTTTTCTTATGATTCGATATTTTGGATAAATGATGTAGCAGTATAATCCTTTCTCCTCCATAAATGTTAAAAATAGGAAGAATTTGAGACTTTGTTTGAACAGTGTTTGACAAAAAACTATTCCAGCAGAAATACATATTTTCTTGTTTTAGAAAATAGAAAGGAAGAGTAACATATCTACATCAAGCTCTGTTTACTCCACTAAAAGTGAAATCTTTGTTGTATTTCTACTTCCCAGTTTCTGCTCTCTAAGGCTTCCTGTATTCATAGTTCAAAGAATTTTGGAGATAGAAGGGACTTTAAAGCTCTAGTTCTGTTCCTTCACAATGTTGATGAGAAATCTATCTCTTTACCCTCAAAAAAATTTTTTTTCAATAGAAAGTTGTATTTCTTTGAGATAGCTTTAGTTTGTGCCTTGAAATAAAATTTTCTAATATGGCCTTTTTTTTTTTACTTTGCATGGAAATGTCATGCCATATATCCTAGTATTTTACATATTTTTGTTCATATAATTTATCTCTTTTTCTAATTGTTAAATCTGCTAGCTTTCCTCTTCTGCCTTTAAAACGTGTAGGTTTCATTATTTCATAGTAGTGTACCATCTGCCTTTTTCATAATTTTAAATGAACAGGTGTCAAAGATTTTGTTGAGCTCATTAATTACAAAGGGAGCTAGTAAGATGTTACAGCCAATTCTAAGGAGAATTGAAAAAACACATTTATGTTTATTTATTTTTAGTTTTTTGGCTGTGTTGGGTCTTAGTTGAGGCATGCAGGATCTTTCATTGTGGCACGTGAGCTTCTCTTTAGCGTGCGGGTCTTTTCTTCTCTAGTTGTGGCGTGCGAGCTCCAGAGCACATGGGCTCTGTAGTTTGCGGCATGTGGGCTCTCTCATTGAGGTGCATGGGCTCGGTAGTTGTGGTGCGCAGGCTTAGTTGCCCCACGGCATATGGGCTCTTAGTTCCCCGACCAGGGATCGAACCTGTGTCCCCTGCATTGGAAGGCGGATTCTTTACCACTGGACCACCAGGGAAGTCCCCAGAGAACACATTTATGTATAGGATATCAGGAAAGCTAAGATGGATTTACAAATAGATGCAAAAGTGGTCAGTATCCACAAAGCAATAATCAATTACATTTGAGGGAAAATTTTCATTTGTATTTTTATTGATAAGAATCATTTGCATTGCTCTCAGTTGCAATAGAGGTATAAAAAAATAAAAGACAGTAAAAGACACAGACAACCCTGAAGGGTGTGCTCATCAGTGATCATCTTTGCTCTTTTCTTGAAAAACAAACACACAAATGGTTTATATTTCTTGGTCACTGTTACTCCAAGTGTAGTCTCAACCACTTATGTTAATTATTTTAACTGTAGTAACTTCTATTTCAGAGAGTAAACTAGAGGCAGGGATGGACAGTTGAGAGATGTCATACACAAACATTGTAGCTGACTACCAGAGCTCATGACCTTTCTATACCACACATATATCTTTCTACACCACACATATTCTTTTACACTTAAAGTAGCAAAATTGAGTAGGTTCTTTTTTTTTTTTTTTTTTGCGGTATGCGGGCCTCTCACTGTTGCGGCCTCTCCCGTTGCGGAGCACAGGCTCTGGACGCGCAGGCTCAGCGGCCACGGCTCACGGGCCTAGCCGCTCCGTGGCATGTGGGATCTTCCCGGACCGGGGCACGAACCTGTGTCCCTTGCATCGGCAGGCAGACTCTCAACCACTGTGCCACCAAGGGAAGCCCGAGTAGGTTCATTAATATGACTCAAAGATATTGCCTCTCTATAGTATATGAAAAATAACAAGCAAAAGGATATAAACTTATGTTTAGTAATTAATGTTTGAGAATTCTATCCTATATTCAGTGATTATTGAGTTAATTAACTCAATATAGTCTACTATTTTAAGTTATCTAAAGCCAAAGATCTTGGAAATTATCTTCCAGATGACAGTATACAAAACGGTAGATAGTGTTGAATAGTCAGTTTAGTTGAACACAGATTTACATTTTCATACACTTAAACAAAACATTATGGAGAATGTTAGTTATTTTGACTGGCAAATCTCTATACATTAAGAAAAACCCAAGTAAAATAAGATACATGTTTGTTTTCTACTTAACACTGATAAATTCGAGAAAATACATTTGTATTTTTAAAACCAAGTAAGTTAGTCTTGTTTACCAAAGATTTCACTTAATTATGGGAACTTGGAATCTTAAAATATTTCTGCTTTAGCTCCTATAGGAAGAATTTTTTTTTAAGTTTAATATAGTTAAAGTATTATGAGTCAATTTCTTTATTTTCCAGGAATTTTAGGAGTATTTATCTCTATAAATTCTCTAATTTATCTCTGTAAACCAATCAGAATTGAGCTCCTTTAAGAGACTTTATGATTTGTTAATACTCTCCATAGAGTATTAACATAATGCTTATACATAGTGGTGGGTAAAGCCCTTTCTGAATTATAGGTACATAAAGAGCTTATAGCTTCATTTCTACCACTTCAGCCACAGGTAAAGAGTAAACACAGAAATACAAAAAATGGCAATCTAACTACCAAAGCTAGAATTCTTTTTAGATTCTTAATTGATTTTAGTTCACAATGGACTAATAGTCAAAAAAGGCTAACAAGATGAATTGTCTATTATTTTTCACGCAACAAAATACGTAACTATAATTCATTAATCCATTTACAAAGATCACCAGGTGGTCTGCTTATAAAACTAAATTTGCATTATTGCTGCCACCAAAGGGGTATAGCTTATTGTCTGAAGGAGAAAAAATACCAAATCAGTAGAGGAAAAAAACTAGAGAAGTGTCAGGGGAGTTAAATTTTTATTACCATTTGAGATTCACACTGGGAACCAAGAAAAGATGAAATCGAGGCTTTAAGCTGCACAGTAGTATTAGGTAACTGACTATCAAATTTATCAGTTTTGGCATTGGGCATCTTGTTGGATTGAAAGGTAATTTTTGATAAAACATAAAATCATTACTCTGATAAATAAAATGACTATGTCTCAAGGATATAACTCATTTATTACTGTAAGAATCAGTTGCTCTATTGATTTCCTACCTGGTTGTCTAATAGATATCTGTGATTTATTGATAATTAAATATCACCCCTAAACCTTCCTTTCTTACAGTCCTCCTATCTCACTTAGTGTTTGTTCCATTCTTCCAGTTGCTCAGACACAAAATCTGAGGCATCCTTGAGTTCTTTCTCCAGTGTGCACATCTGATCTGTTAGCAAAATCCTCTTGTTTCTATCTAGCATCAAAGTATATCAGAACCGGGCTTCCCTGGTGGAGCAGTGGTTGAGAGTCTGCCTGCCGATGCAGGGGACGCGGGTTCATGCCCCGGTCTGGGAAGATCCCACATGCCGCAGAGCGGCTGGGCCCGTGAGTCATGACCGCTGAGCCTGCGCGTCCGGAGCCTGTGCTTCGCAACGGAAGAGGCCACAACAGTGAGAGGCCCGCGTACCGCAAAAAAAAAAAAAAATAATAAAATAAAAATAAAAAGTATATCAGAACCCATCAGCTGCTCAGTTAAAACAAAGATCAGATCTTTCCACTTCTCTTCTCCAAACCCAGTGGCTTCCCTTCTCAAAGTAAAGATCTTTCAATGGTTTTCAAGGCCCTTCATGATATGGCCTCCATTACCCCTCTGTCTTCAAATCCTACTGCTCTCCCTTGCTCACCCTATTCCAGGCACCCTTTGCTCGTTACTATTCCCCACACATAGCAGACATGGTTCTGCCTCATTGCCTTTGTTCTTGATGTTCCCTCTGCCTAGAACATAAAAACCACATGGGGACCTCTTTTCTGTTTGTTTTTTTTTTTCTTTGAGCACACCAAGAACACCCATACCTTAGATCGATCCTTTATATTTGTTCTTACCCTCTGGCTTGTAATACTGTTTCCTCGGGTATCTGAATGGTTCACTTATTTTAGTAATATCTCTACTCAGATGTCATCTAATTAGAGAGGGTACATCCGTCCACTTGGGCCCTTTATTCTGCTGATTTTTTTTCCTTTTTAGACTTAATGCATAATATTTGTTATTTGCCTCCCCACAGTGAGTGCAGGGGCTTTGTTTTATTGCTGTGTTTTCAACACCTAGAATAGTTACTGGCATCTACTAGGCACTAAATATTTGTTGAATAAGTGAAGCCAGCTCATAGGAAGATGGGGGAGTGGGATTATGAAATGTAATACCTTTTTACTTTAAGGCTATAAATATCTTTCCTCTCTAACATTTTATAGAAAAGTTCCTTGTGTGGAAATGTCTCTGGCTCATGCTTGAATTTCAGCCAATTAAGTACTTATAAAATAACAAGTAAATATTCTTTAATGCGTTAAGGCCCTGGGATAATTTTCTGTATATATAAGATACTTTGGGGATTAAGGGGTTTGAATTAAGAGATAATGTTGGAACATGGAATATTGTAGAGTTTGTCAGCCCTGGGTTGGATGCCATTATTATGAATACCTCTGGTAGTCAAGGTAGAATAAAAGATTCTGTGATCTTGGGAAGTAAAGAACAAAAGCATTTATTTATAGAGAGGGAAACGAAGGGCCTGAGACAAAATTGTGGAACTGTTAAGAGTTGGCAGGTAGATATCATTTATCTTTCCCTAAGTCTCTACTTCTTGGTTGGCTTAGGAAGTCAAAGGGCAAGCTGATTTTTTTTTTTTTTTTAGTCCTAAAGTAGGAAAAAGTCCTTGTCTCTCCATCTTTGACATTCATCCATTCAGGAAATATTTGAGTTACTATTACCTATTAGGCCTCAGTCTAGGTGCTAGGAATACAGTGGTGGATGAGACAGTTTCCTACTCACCCTACCCTTTTCTTTTCTTTTCCTAATTTTGTAGTTTGAATGTTAATCATTGTTTCATTGTCTTGTAGGAGATGAAAGAACTATGGTCTTTGTTGAAACGAAGAAAAAAGCAGATTTTATTGCCACTTTTCTTTGTCAAGAAAAAATATCAACAACAAGTATTCATGGGTGAGTAGATTGATATGATTTCCTAGTAAGGAGGTAACTTCTGTTTGTCATTTGTTAAGAAATGTCAGTATATTTAACTCGTATAAAATCCTAGATTAAGATCTCAAGATCTAAACTGTTATTCTTCATCTTCATTTTAAGTTTTTATAAGAACCAAGTGGCGGGGATGGGCGAGTTAAAGGTGTGTCTTAGACTTCTTATTATGAGAATTGGTAACTTCTCAAGACATCTATTTAAAAGGCTCTTTGATAGTTAGAGCTAGGTGTTTCTTCAGCTGAATCTAATCTTTCTGATTAATCAGTGAATATATAGAATTCAGAGATTATGCTCTTTAAAAAGCAGCAATTTTTTTTTAACTGCTCAATCGACAGTACTGTATTAGTCTCCATCTGAAAAAAAAACCACTAAGAATTAAATAAGAAAAGTTTCAAGACAAACGTTAAAAGGCACTCAACTATGTGGAATTGGCTTCGCCTCTGCAGGTTGTTTGGGTACATCCTTGATATGACAAAACTTGTCACACTCTTCCACGTTCTTAAATGTTGGTAAAGGGGCTAGACTAGAAAATGACATTCATAGTTGCCAAAATCTTTCTCATACATCAGGGCATGCCAACGACCCCACTTCTTCTCAGGTAAGAGCACCGCCTCCACCTTGGTCCTCTTTCGGGGGCTGGACTCCACCTCTCTCTCTGCCATGTTGAGCCCCGCTCGGAACCACTGCGGCTCCCAGCGCTGCGGCGGCGGAACCTCTCGGGCCCCCGGCCCCCACCCACACTCAAAAAGCAGCAGTTTTTGAGGTGGCATTCTGATCAAGTAGTATATTTTTTGTCAAGACTAGAAAGAGATTATTAATAGGTAAGATTTGATGTTTGTCATATTTGAGTTTGTATTTTGGCTCTGTGTATTAGCTGTCACCTTACCTCATCTGCAAATGGGGTTAATTGTCCTAACCTCAAAGTATTATTATGAGAATCAAACTAAATTATGACTTGAAAGGAATTAGTATAATACTTGGTATGTAAGAAGTAGACATTAATGTTAAATGTTGCTGTTTTTTACTGTTATTAAAAAGAAATTTGTGTCGAACTTCAATGTTTCTTTTAAATTTTCTTAAGTGCTGTCCTAATACATACTTTTATCTTCTTTCAAGTGATCGAGAACAGAGAGAGAGAGAACAAGCCCTTGGAGATTTCCGCTGTGGAAAGTGCCTAGCTCTTGTTGCTACTTCAGTAGCTGCCCGAGGGCTGGATATTGAAAATGTTCAGCATGTTATCAATTTTGATCTCCCTTCTACCATTGATGAATATGTTCATCGAATTGGGCGTACTGGTCGTTGTGGAAATACTGGCAGAGCTATTTCCTTTTTTGATCCTGAATCTGATGGCCATTTAGCACAGCCTCTAGTGAAAGTACTGTCAGATGTAAGTTTTTAATTTTTTTTTAAAATTTTATTTATTTATTTATTTATTTATTTGTGGCTGTGTTGGGTCTGTGCGAGGGCTTTCTCTAGTTGCGGCAAGTGGGGACCACTCTTCATCGCGGTGCACGGGCCTCTCACTATCATGGCCTCTCTTGTTGTGGAGCACAGGCTCCAGACGTGCAGGCTCAGTAATTGTGGCTCACGGACCTAGTTGCTCCGCGGCATACGGGATCTTCCCAGACCAGGGCTCGAACCCTTGTCCCCTGCATTGGCAGGCAGATTCTCAACCACTGCGCCACAAGGAAGCCCCAGTTTTTAATTTTTAAAACTGAATGGATAGTGTTCTTACCTTGTCATTGAAAGCGGACATTTTATATATATGTATTTTAAGGAAAAGTAAACTGTGCCAATCTTTGAGACTTTATGCATGTTGTATATGAAGTTAATTTTTTCTTTTAAAGGCTCAACAGGATGTTCCTGCATGGTTGGAAGAAATTGCCTTTAGTATATATGTTACTGGCTTCAGTGGTAGTACAAGAGGAAATATGTTTGTATCAATTGATACTAGAAAGGTAAGTTGAAGGGAAAAATTTAGAACTTGGCTTTTAGTTATTCTTTGTAAATGTTGTGCTATTGTGAAGTAACTATAACATTCAGTAATTTACCTATTCCATTATTTTCATACCTGGAAGAATAATAGTTCTCTAAAAGTTTTATATACATATTATATAGTTTTGGTCTTAAAGGTGAGTTTGAGATTTATGCTCAGACACCTTCCTTTCCCAATTCTGCTGGCATTTTAAATTCTAATTTGGGATCTTCTGAGATTTTTGTAGGAATTCTTTATTTTTTGAATTCTGACCACATTATTAAGTAAGAAAATAATAAGAGATGTGGTTGCAATATCTTTTCTGTTGTCAGTTTATAGGCAACATCGTTTTTATACAGAAACAATGAGCATACTAATCATTAAATATTTATGCTTATTCATTGAAGTGAAGAGATTTGTTTTTCCACTTGCCAAAACTACTGGCTTAAAGTTTTCTTGAAATCCTCTGTGCATTTAGACTTTCCAGGTTTATACGTACCGTTTTTCAAATGGATTGGAGTCAGTTGGAATGAAATTTTTTATATATTTGGGGAAGACATGGTGGAAAGCTTGAATCTCAGTCTAGGCAGTGTAACTTTAAAGCTACATTAAAATTAAATGTTTGTTTCTTTTTTTTTTTTCTTTTTAAAGAATTACCAGGGCAAGAGCTCTTTGAACACAGCACGGTTTTCTTCTTCACAAGCTCCTAATCCAGTAGATGATGAGTCATGGGATTAAAGCTAAAACAACCTTCAAGTTTGTGGTACAGTTTTGATGCGGAGATGAAAATAGTTTTGATTTTTGATTTTTTTAATAGAAGTATGAAACCTGACACTCTTGTTTCTCCTGTCTTCTGTTCTTACTCCCACCCTTAAAAAGACATCCTTGTTGACTAGTTATGTGAAATGCTGAAAGTTACAACGTTGCAGTTACTGATACAAATGGTGTTAACTGGAAAGATTAAAGCATTCTAAATGTCTTGCTTATTTTTATTGTATTCTTCAGGGGTTTTAGACATATTTTATGTCTAAATGCCATGTCTTAGTATAGTGTTTATTGATCCTATAACAAACAGGACGAACGATACACTTTTGGTTAAAAATTATTGGGTCCTATTTTTACTTAAAAGGAGCCTTTAAACAGTAGTGAGTCACTGAAATATAATGACATGATTTTCATGACAAATAGACAAGCTTTTAAAAGTAATTTTGATTTTATATCATCAGATATATGATGAACATAGTTAAATGTTTGCAATGTGAGCTCTGTACTCAATGATACAACTGTTTGTAGTTATACTATATAGACATTCCTTGAAAATAAAGGATGAAACTCTTTTCCCCCTAAGTTTTCCAACAGCACTTTTAATTTTTCTTGTTACAGGTCATAGTTCTCAACTCCTGTCTTTTGAAATTTTATTGAGTCTTGTGAAACCAATGAAGTGAACAAAAAGTCATATAAGTTGAATATAATATACATTAATACACAGATGTAATAATGAATGTCATTCTTTGAACTCAAACTATATCAATAAAAAACATTGCTGTTCACAGTTATAATTTTTTGATATTTTAATATTGAGGGAAAGTACTCTGTTTTTTTCATTTACTGTTATATACCTTAAACTTACTATGTCTAGAATGTAAGAAATTCTTAATAAATCATTAAATGAGTAAGCCAAAACATTAGGACATAAAACAAGTGAGATGTAAATATTTAGGGGGACAAAAATAATCAGTTTCAAATGTATGTTTTTATCGCTTAAAATATCCAAAGCAACATTTCCCCAACATATATGTCTTGTTATAGGAATTTGGTTAATAAATGAGGCATCACATATGAAAAGAGGAATGGAATATTCAACAGATTCTGTTGGGATAACTAGTTAGATGCCTATAACTAGTTATATCCCCATGCCATATTAAAAATAAGCCCTATGTGAATTACATAAAAAATTACAACTACAGAAAAATACAGTTAAATATTAAACCTTTGAATTGGGAATGAGAGTTGACATTAAGCTCAAAGGACAGAAATCATGATGGAAACAACAAACAGATTTGATCACAAAAGAATTAGTTGCTTATGTAAAAAGGTTAAACAGTAGACAAGGAAAAGTATTACCATGACTACAGTGGATTATCAGTGTATAGTTATTTATATGTGGATATTTAGGAATTCTAGTAGATCAATGCGCAAAGAACAGACAACTCAAAAAGGGAGGTTCAATTTTAAAAAACATGGGACAGGAATTCCCTTGTGGTCCAGTGGTTAGGACTCTGTGCTTTCACTGCCAGGGGCCTGGATTTGATCCCTGGTCAGGGGAGCTAAGATCCCACAAGCTGGAAAAAAGAAAAAAAAGGGGAAATATTTAACTTGTACTGTTAATCTCACTTCTGGGAAAGGCTAATTTCCAGTTTGTTTTGTTTACAAAGAGCATTTATAAGTCATTTCTTTTTTTTTTTTTTTCATTTCCTCAAAGAGCTTCTTGGTCATAGCCTGATTGCCTTAAAACTTTTTTTAATTTGCTTGATTTGTCAGATTTACCATAATAGCATTACTGAAACAAATGTAAAAAGAGAAAGAAAATCATACATGATCCTACCATCATTGTAAACCAACTGTAAATGTCCCAGTGTTCAATTACTTTCTTCATTTCTAGGTATAGATTTGAATAATTTCTTTTAAAAATATCAGAGTAATGGATACACACATGACTAGAAAAAAAATCAAAGTAATGGATACACATATGACTAGAAAATAAAATTCTATAGAAAGATTAATAATAGAAAGCAATATTCTGCTGCCTCTCCCTTTCTTTTTTTTTTTTTTTTTTGCGGTACACGGGCCTCTCACTGTTGTGGCCTCTCCCGATGCGGAGCACAGGCTCCGGACGTGCAGGCTCAGCGGCCATGGCTCACGGGCCCAGCTGCTCCACGGCATGTGGGATCTTCCCGGACCAGGGCACGAACCCATGTCCTCTGCATCGGCAGGCGGACTTTCAACCACTGCGCCACCAGGGAAGCCTGCCTCTGCCTTTCTAAATTGCTCTTCCACATCCCACAAATACCTTTAATCATTTACAATGGTTGCCATCACATCTTTTGTTTTTGTCTCACCAAGTTTAGACTTCTATTGACTTTGTGTGTGATAGATAAAGATCACTCACCTCACTCTTACTTCCTTGGTAACTTTATTACGTTTTTCAAGTTTTATTGAGATATAATTGTTATACATCACTATATAAGCTGAAGGTGCATAATGAGCATAATGGTTTGGCTTACACTGTATTGTGAAATGATTACTGCAGTAATCATCATCTTATATAGTATATAAAATAAGAAAGCAAAAGAAGAAAAAAAATCGTAACTTTAATATAGTTAGAAGTACACTTTGTGAGATGATTGATAAAGGCACCCTTTTCCTTCCCTCTATTTCTGTTTTTATATTACAGCATCTGTAAACTATATATTTACATTTCCAAAGTTAATATTTGCATTCTATTCTATAACAAAAAGTCTCCCTTGTTATATCTACAGGTTGATTCTAAAATTGGAAATCAATAGACAAGGTTTACATTATACAAATATTGTTCTCTGAATGGGCCAGTTAACATAGTCTGATTATCTTTACTATTTTTCCAATTTTGTCACCTCTGTGTTTCAAGGGAGAATTATTATAATTATTATAAATGCCAGGGTCAAGTGAAAATTGATCAAAACCATTTCACATACCAGTTTGCTTTAACCTTGGGCCATACTCTTAGAGCAATTTATTTACCCTGTAGTTTGATTGTCTTTCTTTTTTCTTGTTGGGAGAAGAAACATGCCCTTTTCATCATATTATTACCTTTCTGGGTTCAAAGTTAGTATTGTCTGGAAGCTATATCCTCAAATATGTTGGTGTTGTTAACTTTTATGAATGGACATTTTAATTTTGGCGAGTACTTGGTGTGCTTTGCAGATCCCTGGGAGTGTGTTGTATTTCTTTGATAATTTTTCCTAAGCTTTCTCTGTTCTTTCTTTATGGAACTTCTATTAATTTTGCTAGAACTGCAAAATTAATCTCTAAATGTCCTATCGTTCATGTTTTTTCATCTTTTTGCTTATGTTTTGGTAGAATACTTACCATCTTTAAACGCGTTTAAAACATTTTTAGCAATTTTATTTCCAATCTTACTTTGTTTTTCTAAATGTTGCTTAATAATGAATGTTCTGCTTTACTAATACTTGTTTAATCCTTGTAATTTAACCTGAGAAATCTTTTTTTTTTTGCATTAAGCATTTGTTTTCCTGCTGCTTGGCATCAGAAATCTTAAGCCTTTATCAACTTCTAAGTATATTGAATGCTGGCTTTAGTCAAATTCAGTAATCTCTTCATTTTTGTGCATTTCCGTCCAACCCCTAGAGTCTAGTGCCCTCTCCTCTCTCTAACTCTGTTCATCAAGGCCTCCTCTCAAGAGAAGGGATAAGTTGAGATGTGAATAATAAAGCTTAGATTTTCTTCTATTGAATTCTTTGCATTTTAAGAAGTCAAAGGTTCTGGCCTGAAGTGGGAAGCTCAAACTAAAGTGGGAAGCTCAAAATGTGGAATAGCTGTACCAGTGAAGGGATAAAGATGAAGAATGGTCCTGATTTCGTATTGGGTACATGACTTACTGCATCTGTCTGTTAGGGTCTTGGGGTAGAATAGTCCTTGTTTTCTGGTTTAACTTTTCAGCATTGATAACATTTCATCATAGGGCAGCAGCATAAGTTTACCCTCCCACATTTCCCCTAGCTTTACACTTTGAGCTGTTTTTATAATCTCTTTATTGGTCCCCTAATTCGGGAGAAGACAGCTCTTCATGTTGTTTGGTTTGTGTGCTCTTTATAGATTTTTAAATATGTTTAAAATGGCACTATTAAAATTTCAGCCACACAACAGCGTGCATGATGGTCGACAGGGGTTGTCTGTGTTCAACGTCGGCTTTAGATTTCCCCGCTGTATCCCACGCAGAACAGGAAACCTAGTACCTCCTTTGTAAAAGTCCAGAATGGACTCGTATTATGTCCCAGGGTGCTGGTGGTGAGATAAGGCGCTCGTTTTACGATCCGGCCAGCAGAGAGACAAGCCTCGGCGGCCAGACGGCTGTGTGCGGCCGTGGCCACCTCGAAGCAGCCAGTGCTGGAAAGCAGCTTCGTCTGCATCCCGCCTCCGGCTTGTGGAGGCGGCCCCCGGGGGCGGCCCTGACCTGGTGGTCCTTCCTCTCCCGGACCTGGCAGCGTTCTCTCCGTTCTCTCCGCGGCCTCGGCTGGGGAATGCCAACTAGTACTGGGGGCGTGGGGCGGCAGGAGCCTTCCCCCCGGGGCGGAGCCGGAGGTTGGCCTCAAGGGATCTGAGGGACTGCGATGAGCAGCTGTTAGGAAGGCGTCCCTGCCGCCGGGAGCTCTGGCTGACCAAGTCCAGGTGAGTGTGGGGCGTGCGCGCGTGGTGGGCTGGCACCGCGGGGCTTTCCTCCGGCCTTCCCTTTAGAATCGCAGCTCCTAAATCACTTTGGACCGCGTAGGTTATCGACCCAAGTTTTACTTCAAATCTCGGGGGATTTATCAACCTATGTAAAACCCATTCGTAGACCCAGCGAAAGGCCCCAGAACCGAAGATTAAATGACTCCTGCTTTAGAGACAGTTGGTGGTGCCCCGAGGAATTCCTCGTGAAGAGAGAATGGGGGTGGGTGGGTGTGGGTTGGAGTGGGGGAAACAGCAGGGTTAGTGTGCTGAAACACTGCGGAGGCTGGAAATTGCGGTGAGCAAATGATTTGTCTTAGAGCTTGGGGTCTGGCGATTCAGGTTAATCCTTTAAGCGACTCATTACTTGTTTTACTGTAATTTAGGAGACTGCCAAATTGTCAGCGTAGGGCATTGAAATCTTTTCTGTGGGGGATTTTGCATGTGAGAATTCCTTGAAAGATTTTTTTCTGCTGTCAGTATTTTCTGGATTTGGAGTCTCATGTGTTTGTAGAATTCTTTTTCAGCATTCAGGAACAAAACCCAACTTTTTCTCCCCTTCTTTGTATATGAACTTGTTAATTCTCCTAAAGTCTTGGCTATATCTATTTAACCTGATTTTCTCCTTAGTTTTGGGAGGGGGTTACCATGTGGGGGGTAAATTCTCAACAGAGGTAAGAGCAGTTTAAAATACTCAAAAACTTGTATGTGTAGGATGAGAAGCTCCTGTGTGACAAGGTAGGTATGATGCTTTATTATAAAGAACTAGTTGGAGTAACCTTAACACTGGCTTTAATGTTGACTTGGTGTTGCCTAGCACTATCAGTGATCTGTTTTATGCCTCAGTTTGCTTTTATGTA